GTATACGATCATATACGCGAAATCACCTATACTCCACATATTCCGCGGTCCTACCTATTAGGCGATGGCCCGGCCTATAGGTGACTTCCAATTTTAGAGACGTAATCTCTAATGTCTGCCTGCGCAAGAACGATAACAATAATAAAAGAAGACGCAAGCATCCATGCAGCACATTCGAGCACGCGCTGCACCACACATACAAAGCATCACACGGGGCAGAGGGCTGTCTCCGCGGTTGCCTGGTGCTGCTGTTCAGACCGCCGTGGTGCGGGGCTCAATCAAGGCCTTTCCAGGTAGCTCTTAGGGCCTTATGCGGCCAATGCAGTGGTTAGGTCTTCTTATCTATAGGCGTTCAGCACTACTGCCATGACGATGACCTGTATGCATATGTTCGGATACTCCGTAATATCGTTCACGTACATCAGACAAATGAGCTCACAGCCATAAAACACACAGACATACATACATATATGCTGTAGTAGCTATAGGTAGGACGGCACACATATCACCGTCTGGTAGGCACAGGCTGAGGTGGCTTCTGGGGCCGGAGATAGTGGATCCTTTCAGAGGGGGAAATTGTAGTAGCTGTAGACAGTACGGCACATATATCGCCTGCATCTTGAGAGGCCTTGACGAGGCCTTTTCAGCGGCCAGCAGCTATTACACACACATACACACACGTATACACATACGGACATACACATTCATTTGCCACGTGTGCGCACATACACATGCAACGATGTATTCCACCGCACACACAGACACATACAAATTCACACACATACAGGAGCGCACACATACATACATACATATATCACGACACCCTCTATCATGTCCTCGACACTGTTGGTGTCAGTAGGGACGACATATGCTCGCGCCCAGCTTGAGGCGCGTTACTACTGGAAGCAATACTCGCAGCACGCAATGCAAGCAAGCGAGCGACTCGCACACCACACCATCCCATCTTCTGCCGCAACCCACACCACGTTACAGAGCCACCCTGAAGGCCTTGCAGTACGATATAGCAAACTTCATTCAGGCATTGCAGGCCAGAGTAGCATACATGCACGTTACACCACGAGCCGCTTTGGAGGCTCCCGCCGACCCCGCCCCCGACATAAACAATAATTCGCCTTCCCACACACCGGTATCCTCATTACGACCGGGCCGTGACCATAACCGTGATACATACGTACCGGGCCAGATTGGACCGTAATCGCACCATAAACTACCGTTACCGTACTGTGCTGCATGACAAGCTTGAAACCCTCTTTCCTTTCCAAATAAAAGGCTCGATCGGCGTGGCGCATTAATGTTCGGCACACAGCAGTGCAACGTACGATAACGATTTGGTCACACCGGCAATGAATAATTGAAATGCCCTTGTAAAGGTAAGGCCCAGAGTTGGCAAATCATTTGGATGACAAAACTCGTTCTTTGAGCTGCAGGAGAAGCATTTCTAAAATATAGAGTTCAGAACTTACTACAGCAACCGTTTACCTATGTCCTCAGATAACTTATTCCATTATTTGCGAATTATCACGAAGGGTAAAATCGTAATAAACCTCCCTCAAGCCTCATTGTAGGGCGCATCGAACTGGGGTCTAGATTTCATGGTAGACCCGGCTGGATCCGGGCGCTTCAATGTTGGCTGCAGGGTGACAGCTCACCACAGCAGCCTCAAATATAACCCCCTGCTCGGCGACTGCATCCGCCTCTGCATTCTTCTCTATTTATCGTTCATCTTCTTTCTTCTCATTACTTGAACATGTTTTATGCGGCGTGAAATCAATTCTTCGTCCACAGTTGATGCATCGGAAGGAACAAGCACCGAGCGCCAAAAGTTGCCACATACATAGACACCCAACATAGACACGCAAACAAAAAATCCATGTTTCCCGCAATGAATGTAAGTACTTAATACAGAGACGTAACATAATCTTAACGACGCGAAACCGCCCAGCGATGAATCGCCCTGCAGGTGGCTGTAGTGACTGTACAGACACACAGTGACCCAGTGCCGAGAACCTACCTACAAAAGATTTGCACCTCGCGCTCCAACCGCCAAAGTAGTGCTGCCCCATCCTCCTCAGCCCATATCCCTGCCGTACACATCCGCCGCAACCCGTCAAGACTCCAGAGAGCCCTTATCCACAGCCGCCGCCGAATCCGCCATCACTATCGACGGCGATGCAGTGGCAGCGGTGTGCAGTGGCGGCGGCGGCCGCGGCGGCGGCGGCAGCGGTTTCGGAGTCAGTTGGCGGCACTGGTGTTGGCGGACCTGTGGACGATTTGATTGGGGCTGTGGACGTCAGTGATGGCTGCGGTGAAAGCAGTCCCAACCTGCTCCGGGAGTCGAGCCCCAATGCGTAGCTTGTCTGCCGGGTCAAGGCCGACGGCGTGCCGCCGCTGCTGCAGCCGCCCGCCATGTTCCATGCCGTACAACAGCTGCTATCCACGCTGCATGTTCCTGTGGCCCCGCCGGATCCACCCGCGACGGCAATAGCGGTAGCAGGGGGGCCGCCGCCGTCACCGCCGGCGGCGCCGGTGCCGGCAGCGGCGGCAGCGGTGTTTGAGCTTGACCGTGCTGCAGCCACGAGGATAGCAAAGGCATTCGGTTGGCGATGCGACCGGCTATTCTCACTCGCAGAGGTGTTAAAAGCGGCCAACTGAGTGTACGGCGCCGTCTGACTACGCTGTGGGCTGACACCGTCACCGCTTTTGCCGCCGCCGGGCCCAACTGTAAGCCTGCCGGACGATACCCTGGCTGGCGTGGAAAGCTTAGTTCTGGCAGCGCGCGCACCACTGCTGCTGTCGCCGCCGGAGGCAGCGGAGGCAGCGGCGGCGCTGCCGCCGCCGCTGAGATACGTTTCCGGACCGTCCACTGACCCGCGGATCGACGCTGGGACGAAGAGCAGGTGCCCGAACTCGGTGTCGGTGTCGAGAGTCTCGACCATATGGTTGCCGCCGTCGCTTACGGCCGCGCTGTCGTACGCGGATAGCCAACCTCCCGACATTACAACACCCTCTTCAGCCGTGGTGGGGAGCACCCTTGCAACGGTACCGGTTGCAGCGGCCCCTTCGGGGTGAGCTACAGTCACCGTGGCGCTTTGCGCCAGCATGGAAAACGACGGTGACGCCGCCGTCACGGCCACCGTTGATTCTCCCGATGCCGACGCCGTCGTACTTCGGGTGAACAGCCTATCAGGTGCGACTGATTCGCCAAGGGTGGTGGGCGGAATCGGTATGGGTGCCGACGTCGCGGCATCAGGATCTGAAACTGGGAGTACGGCAAGGAGGCTGAAGGAACCAGATGCATGCAGTTGCGGATGCGGATGCGGATGCGGGTGCGGGTGCGGGTGCTGCAGCTCTGCAAGTGATGCGGCGCAGGGTGATTGCCCATGTGCAGGACGCCCCGCCGTTCGTGCGTCTGGCCCGTCGGTGGCGGCTGCTATAGCCGTTCGTGAAGCAACAGGGGCTGTTATCGTTGTGCTGCATGCGCTGTGCGCTTTAACGCCGGTCTCGGCGGAAGTCATCGTCATTGCCGTTGTGGTGGCGGTTGCGATGGCAACGTCAGGCGTCCGTGTAGCAGGGAGGCGGCTGTCATGCCTTCGCTGCTGCTGTGCTGGCACGGGTGGCAACGGCGGCGGCGGCAGCGACGCATAGGGCCCCAACTGTGCTTGTGTCGGCGGCGGGGGTGTTGGCGGCGGGGCCGGCGACGCTGGCTGCAGCAAGGGACCGCTGGTAGCGGGCCCGATGATGTCGTTGGCGATTTCAGAAGCTGCCGTCTCGGCGGCGCTGGCGGCGGTGGCGGTGACGTCAGCGCCGACAGGTGCAGACTTGGCTGGCAGCGGCAGCGGCGTCCACAGGTGCGTGCGCATAAGGCCTTTACCCTTTACCTGTACGATTGTACGGAAAAGGAGAGCAGGACGGATTCACGTTCTCCGAGTAAGCAATTGGGTTGGATAGAGGCTTCAATTGGAGCACGGTCGGTTAGGGTTGAATGTAATACCAGCATCAGTAATAAAGGGGATTTGAACTCTGGTTCCGCTTCTCCCCTTTAAAGCAAACGCCCTGGGGCGCCACCGGAATATATTGTATGGATTGTATGAAGGGGTGGTCTGTATATACGGGTGTATGTCTATAAGTGTGTTTGCATAATGTTGTTACAGGGTGGTATGTATATAAGCGTATATGTATATAATACATGACTTGTTCAGTCTTAGCCCGTTAGAGATGGAGGCCTTATTATATGCAAAATATCTGCTCGCTACTGGATTCGATCCGTGGGGCCCGCGATCAACCGCCAATGGCCCTTACCTCAATACCCCCCGTGGCCTGCCAGCCCTCGGCCGCAGTTTCGTCCCGGCTCTTGAGCAGGTGGAAACACTCCTCGCTGATGTGGATGCTGCCGGGGACACCAGTGCTCTCCATGCGGCTAGCTGAAGGCGGGGAAATGGGGGGGGAAAGGTGTGTGTGTGTTTGTGAGGGGTGCGAATGGTCACCACTGCGTGTTGGCGCCTGGTGGTCCTCACCCGTGTTTACTGTGTCTCCAAACAGACAGAACCTCGGCATGCGTGTTCCCACCACTCCGCTGACCACGGGCCCGCTGTGTATGCCCACGCGGATCTTCACGGGAGCGCCCGTGGTGGGGAGGCGGACCGAGGAGGCGGCGACCAACATAGCCTGATTGGGGGGGAGGGATTGGGGGGGAGGGAGAGGGGTTGTGTGGGTGGTTAGGGCGAAGGGATAAAGGGGTGATAGGGAGGAAAGCAAGGAGCTATGGGGGGGAAGGGTGAAGAGGCAACAGGGTGGTGGGTTAGTAAGAAGGGAGATAGGGACGCGGAGGGGACACGGGGAAAGGGGGGATGGTGAAAGGGAGTATGGGGGTTCCCATCCTCTAGGAGAGCCAAGTAAAGCCCGAGAGCCTTACAGCCCTATATCCGAACGCAACTGGGTGGAAAAACGCCCTACGGTGGAAAAAACCCAAAGGCGGAAGGGTGGAGGCGGCAGAAGGCTCTCAGCATCTAAGTTGTGGTGGGAACGACTTTGCGGGAGGCAGGAGGTCGCGTCCCTGACCAGCATCAGCGCACGTGTGTGTGTGGACGGGACCCGCCTGCCCCTTTCCTTTCTGGCCCCTCACATTCTGGGCCTTGCTTCCAGCATCTAAGGAAAACCCTTCTCCCTTACTGTGTATAGATGCGCAAATCCAAGTTTGGAAAGTCTCTTTAAGCCAGCTTAGCCGCTTGTTAAATGCTCCTATTTTCCATCCCCCGCCTGATTTTAATGCTCTCCGTACAGTGTACGTGTACAAATGACGACGTGCAACTCCTTGCGGTACCTTTTGTACGTGTGTTCGTGCATAGGTATGTAGGTGCAAACGTATCACCTAAACTACACCCGCACCTTTGCGAATCCCACCACATTGGCCGCCTGGTCCGGGTCCACAGTCCCCCCTCCCTGGACTGCCGCCATGCCGTCCTCGTCCTCGCGAATAAGGCCCCCGGCGACCATGTAGCAGTCGCCGATGGTCTCAACCTTTTTATGCAAATCAAAGGGAAAAGTTGCGAAACGGTGGCGGAAAGCTAAGATCTATGGTGTCTCAACCTAGAGAAGAGAGAGAGGAGACGGAAGGAGATGCAAAGAGAGGTCCTAGAGGTTACAATTGACGTGGGACGACGACGACACGGTAGAGGCAATTGAAGGGCACAAAATGCGAGGAGGACAGGAACTGGGCCCCATAAACTGGGGTCATGGCGGCAGCGGACAGGGCCGGGTGGAGGAGCGCGATGGTGATGGTGGGGAGGAGGGCGCTAAGGATAAAATAGCTATAGGTCAGCAGCTGGCTGCCGCCAGTGGGGAAAGCCTCTGATAAGGGAGCCCACACTACACTACACGTACAACACGCTTACGTGACGACGATTGCGGCCTGATGCCTGGCTACCCACCCTCCTCCCCACCCCATCACACTCGCCCTCCCTCTACCCTCCTCTAACCTGCCGCCATGTTCACATCCAACTTGCGCCTAGTTCGCTGATTACCCCTTCAGCCGCTGGCGGCTTGATGAACAGCAGCTGCCAACAGGTAATGGCTGTGAGGGAAAGGATCGTCTGAATCGACCGAACGTTTGCTGCAACGGCATATTCCTCTCACTTACCTTGTATACGCGGTGTCGGTCCAGCATATCGTCGAAGGCGGTAAAGAGGGTGTGCAGAAACGTCATGACGACAGGAGGGGGAAGTACCTTGCACATGGGGGTGAACCCTGGTTACGGAAAAAGGGGTTGAGGGCAGGGGGAGGGGGATGTGGTGGGGAGGGAGGGAAACTGCGGAGCATGGCGAGAAAGGAGTGCAGTAGACGGACCCAACCCCGACAAACCAGCACCAGAGCCCAGTGGAAGAAGTAGTACAGTCAGGTCAGGCAAATTGGTAGCGGAACCGTAGCATTAGCATTATTCGCACCGTAGCATTAGCATTATCCTTTATGGAGGAATTCAAACAACTCGCGTTACTTCCAGATAGACAAACTCAACGAACCCAACCACCCCTGCCCCTACCAGTACCCACCTTGGATGTCCGCGAACAGGACCGTCACCTGCGAGGTGTGTATGTATGTGTGTGTGTGAGAGAGAGAGGGAAAGAAAGAGAGTGAGAGAGAGAGAGGGAAAGAATGAGAGTGAGAGAGAGAGAGGGAAAGAATGAGAGAGAGGGAAAGAGGACGGGCTGGAGATGAGATGTTGATTAGAAGAGAAGAGGGAGGTGAATTTTAACATTGTGTGGCTGTGTGAAATTATATTGGATTGGATGGATGATGTGTCAAGTTAACAGGTTTGGATTGGGGTTCCGGAGCGCCCCTACCGAGCGCAGGTCCGTACACAAACACGCCGACGTTGCCTTTCGCAACAGTAATCATGACAAGAAACAAGGAACAAGAAACAAATTAGGTTAAGGGACATGTACATATCTCCCTAGTCCATACCCGGGGATGCCAAGTGGCCAGCCGGTTGCAGTCACGAATGCGAGGCCGCCAAGAGGTCGCCGCCACCGAAGAGCCATCAGCATCCCCGTCTGTACCTCCAGCAGCTTCACTGCTGTCACCGTCTTGGGCGTGCTGTGCGTGTCCAGAGGAAGCCTACAGCGTGCGAGCGGTTCGGACATAGGTGCGACTTTGTAATGTATGTGTGTGTATGTACGTAATGTACGTGTGTGTATGTATGTGTGTGTTTGAGACACATTTTCGCGACCGTGGCGGTCATTGAGTGAGGGAGATACATGCCAGCAGCTAACTGTGTCCAAAACCCTTCCAAGGAGAAGGTCTTCTTCCGCCCGTAGCTATGCCGCCTATTGACCGTTAAAAAACCCACAACCCCTCCCCCCCCTCCCAGAAACCCGTCTACGACTGCCCCCTGTTGCCGCCACGTCCGCCTCACCAGCATGCCCGCCTCCTCGGTGACGTACTGCAGTACTGCGTGCGGAAAGGCATCGGCACGGATAACATTCCGGAGGCATGGGTCATGGAGAGACGCATGCATTGGGCTTTACTTGCAAGGGAGGCAATGGATCTGAATGGCGAGTGGGTCATGTTAGCTACGGCATGTAGGCAAAGTAGCAGCAGCCACACCACCATTATAACTGTCATCATTATTATAACCGATTATATAGGTCGTTATCAGCAGCAGCAGCAGCAGCAGCATATGAACATTCGGCATTACAAGCATCATCATCATCATCATCATCATTAGCAGCAGCAGCAGCAGCAGCAGCAGCAGCACTAGCAGCGTGGCTTTGCAGATGGACGGGCGACCCTTGTGCTTCTCTCCCGCCCTCCCCCTCCCCCGGCCCTACGCTGTTTCCTCCACTGCCTCGCACACACACACACACACACATATCCCTGCCGTACCGTGTCTCGGGAAGATCTGCTCCAGCAGCCGGTGCTCCGTCTCCGAAACCTGCGCCACGTGTCTCTCCGCCACCACCTTGGCAGTCACATCGCGCTGCATCACCACGACCACCCGGCGACCGGAGGCGGGGTCACACAAACCAACTGCCAGGACCTCATGCCAGCATTCGGACGGCCCAGACTCTGCAGATGCCCCCCTGCCGCCGTCGCCGCTACTATGGCTGCTATGGCTGCCGGTGCCGCCGCCGCCGGTGATGCTGCCACTGACACCGCCGCTGTCGCAGCCGCTGCTTCGACGAGGCGGTTTGGAAACCGAAGATGCAAACGAAGAGGATGTTGGGCCCCGTGAGGACAGAGCTGCAACGCGGTCGCGTTCAGCACTGCTTCCCGCTCCCTCACGTACGGCACCCTCCGCCGATGCTAGCGGCGCCACTGATTGTGCAGGTATACGGTGAACTCGCCGCTGCGCGTCAACTGCCGTCAGTGCGGGCCTCGATGCGGTGGCGTCGGCCGGTGGCACCGACGACGGTGACGGCATGGCTGCCGGGGCCCTTGCCGCTGCTTTCGCTACCTGCGCGGCAGCGAGGGCTGTACTGGATGGCCCGCCGGGCCGCGCCGGCGTAGTGGCCGCCGCCGCCGCGGCGGCGGCGGCGGTGGCAAAGCCCTTTAAGACCGCCAAATCACCCATAGACCGCCGTCCTAAACGTGCGCCTCCACGGATGCTGCCATCGGTGGCATCAGCACAACCGCCATCGTAACCGGTATCAGCACCGCCGCCGCCGCCGCCGCCGGGCTGTAGCTGCGTCAACGCACCAAAGGTCGCCGAAGCGGCCCGTTTTGAAGCTTGCGATGTGTCAGTGCCCGGCGCAGCACCGGCAGCCATGTACGCCGCGGTCAATGCCGTACGATTGGCGGATGAGCCACGTACACGGCTGCCGCCGTTTATCCCGTTGCTGCTGGGCGCTGTACGAAGGGTCTGTGCAAACGCCAGCATGCGCGAGGCTGGCATGCTACTGCCGGCGGTGGCCAGACTGCTAATGTGAGTGGCCTGCGTGGAGGCGCTGGTGCTAGAGGGGGCGGCGGCGCTATTGCGCCCAAAGCGGTACATCGACTGCGACGACAGGCCCGCGGCAGAGCGGGCCATGCCGTTTACAGTGGCGGAGGCGGCGCTGGCGGAGGGGGCATGCGCAAGCGCCGCGCGTGCAGCGGCTGCCTGTCCGGGATGTACGATACAGGCGCTATGGGATCGGGGCAGCAGAGCTAGCTCTGGAAGACCGTCTCCTTCTGCAGTGGGCCGTCGCGTGAACGATGCGAGCTGCGTACGGCCATGCACGTTGCCATTACCGTCGGCGCCGCCGCCACCGCCGCCACCCGCACCGCCGCTACCCTGCCTCGGCGTGATGCCCAGAGACGTGCTGGTAGCCAGAACCGCCTGGGTTCCGGAGCGTAGACGAGCAAGCAGCGGCTGCCAGAACGACGACGACGTGGCGGGGGAGCCCATGGCCGGGCTGGCAGCGGCGGCGGCGCCGCCGCCGCCTGCTCTGCGCGGGAGCAGCGTAGATGCCGACCTGAACAGGAAGTCGCCGTTCAGGCCAATGGAAGAGGAAGCGCGACTTAGCGTGAAACGTGCGCGTGTCTGTGTAGCGGTGATTGTGGTAGCGGTAGAACCGGTAGGTGTAGCTGCACCAACAGGCCCGGCTGCTGCACCGCTGCCACCGTCGCCGCCGCCGCCACTGTCGCCGCCACGGCCGCCGCCATCCGCAGCCCCGTGTCTACTGCCATTGGCTCCATCGTCGCCGCCACCGCCGCCGCCGCCGCCCTCGTCCTCGACGCAGCGGAACGGCCCAAACGTCATTGCACTGCCGTACGTGCTGCCTGCGCGAACCTCTACTTCCATGGAGGGCCTCAAATCGCCGTCTCGATCCAAGTCATCCTCTTCCAGCCCCTCCAGCAGTGGAAAGCACTGCAGCGCGTCTACATCGTTCGTGTGACGAAAGGCGCCGCCGACGCTACTGCTGGCGCCAGCGGCAGCGGTGCCGCCGCCGAAGCCACTCGTCCATACCGCCGGATCAAGCGGTGGTGGCGCCGTTGCGTCGGCCTCGCTTTCAAAATCATCGCTCATGGTGCTCCAGCCGCCGACGCCGACGCCGACGCCGACGCCTCCGGCGCGTGTCGTACCAGAATGCTTGACGCCGCCGCCGCCGCCGCCGCCACCGCGGCCACGAACGCCTCCGTTATTACCAACCGACGTGCCCGGGATATGGCCGTGGCTCACGCTGCTAAACGCTACCTGCCAGGTGCTGGTTGTCCAGGGGTCCAGCGTCGTAGCGGGGCTGTGCAGGTGCATATGCCGTGCAGACCCGTGGGTCTGAATCACGCCCGTCCGGGTGCGTGGCACGTCCAGTGAAGTCCGGGTGTAGTTGAACGACGCGGATCGCCGCCCGTAGGGGCTGCCGAAAGAGGCGGCGCTGACGGCGAAGCGCCGCGTCATGTCGAAGCTGTTGTTGCGCCCCAGTGGCGACTGTGCGTACATCGCGTCAGTGGCGGCGGCGATAGCGCCGCCGCCGCGCCCGCAAGTGACTGAACGCCGGCTTATGTCGCATCCATCGGCTATTAGGCCACCTCCACCGTCGCCGCCATCGCCAGTCTGGGCGGCGCGCATGGCGCTGAATGAGGAAGGGCTTGAGTTGGCACCAGCGCCGCCGCCGCCGCCAGCGGCCCGGCTGGCGCTGCCGCCGGCACCAAGGCTGGAGAAGAGCGCACTTAGCAACCCGGCCGCCTTCCATCCAACTGCCAGGCCGCCGCTCCCGTCGCCGCGCTGCTGCTTTTTCTCTGGAAGGGTGCTCGCGGAAGCCACCGACGGCTGGGCGACATCACCGAAGGATATCGAAGCCGCCGCTGCCGCCGCCGCCACCACGGACAACGCGGGTGCCGACATCTGCTGTATTTGCAGACTCGTCGTCATGCCCAGTCGGCGTATGTGACCTGCCGCCGCCAGCGTTGACGCGCCACCCACCCCGCCGCCGCCGCAGTACGACGCGCAGCTCTCCACGACATCAGTTACGGAGCTATTGGTCCGTGGCGCTGCATCGCTGCAGGAAGCTGCTACGTCTGTCTGGATGGACGCCGTGAAACGGCCGATGCGCCGGTTCGAGTCCAGTGGCGTCCAGCCGCACGCGCCGCTGCCAGCACCGCCGCAATCATCTGCCACCGACGACGCCGAAACTGCAGTCAATGCGGCGGCTGCATTTGACACATCCTGACAAGCGGCCTTGCACACCGGCGGTGGCGTCAGCGGTGCCGCCGCTGCTGTCGCCGCCGCTGCCGCCGCTGCCGCGCCGGTGCTGCCATCATCTGCACTGGCGGGAACAGACGACTGCCTCAGCAGCGTGACTGCGCCGCGCGCGGGTGCCTGCGACACCATGGCTTCCTGTTGCTTGCGGCCAGGCTGGTGACAAGGCTGGGCTGCTAGAGCATCATCGCGGATAGACTGGGTTGTTGTTATTGATGCTGAGGCCGCATTTAAGTCGGTGTCAGGAGAATGGGCATTCGCCGAGGGGTTGTCGTTGCTTTCCGGATAGCAGGTAGTCAGCCTCGCCTTTGGCGTCGGCGGCGGCTGTAGGCGTCGGCGGACTAACAGCGAATGCGGCAGGTGCTGCTGCTGCTGCTGCTGTTTTACCTGATTCGCCGATTGCGGTTGCTGTAACTGTTGCTGCTGCTGTTGCTTCGGACGCTACAGCGGAAAAGGCAGCGGGGTGGCATGGGCGATGGCGATGGCGATAGGGCAGGGGCGAGAGGGGAAAAAAGGGGAAGGAGGTGACCAGCTCAAGTGTAAAGGAATACCAGGAGTGAAAAGAGCTCAAACGGTTCTGGCAGCAAAGAGAAATAAGATCATGCAGGTGTAAAGGAAGAAAGGGAAGGAAACGCCCCCTGGTGCCATAGAACATGCACGCTCGGGTTATCATAGCTAAATCCAGGAACGATTAAACCATCCAACAACAACTCCCCACGGTTAAACGTCCATGTAATCTAGGGCAGCCGCCTTGCCGCCGCCGTGAGACAAACAAAACAAACAGACACCGAGCTGCAACGCGAGCGCTTCAGCCTGCTGCTACCTTCACGCAAGGCGCGGATGATGATATTGCCGTACTCAGGCTGCCGTACTTGTCCACACCGCAGCGTTCGCCCGCTGTAGGGTTGTCCGCCAGCAACAGCGCCATCTCCCCTTCGGATATGTCTGCTCGAGTTGGGAGGGGTAAGGACCACGGCGGCCGAGGGAAGTAGATTAAGATGCGGGAAAAGGTTGGCGGATTGAAATTCAAATTTTTGAGACCGGTGGGGATGGGCAAGGGGAAGGGGAGGAGGGGGTGAAAACGGGGAACATATACAAAAGAGAGGAAGAGAGGTGTAATGGGTCTTGGAAGGGGAGGAAGCGGGGAAAGAGACTGAAGTCATAGGATACCTGACAACGTGCAAGACTTTTTCAAGCTAGCGGAGATGACGACATTTGGCATGTAAGGTGATCCCTGCCTCCAATTGCGCCGACACTCCAGAAGATTGGGTAGAAACATCGCTTCCCCCTGCTCAGCTATGCTGCCACGATGCTTTCCCTCCATTGTCCTCTCCTCCCAGCCACCGCAACCCATCTTCGTAGCTCTAATGCCCGTGCTCCGCCTCCCTAGACCGTACCCCAAGATCCCCCCTCCAACACAACCACCAAATCCCCTTCCTTTGCTTACCCTCCAGGGCACATGTAGAGGAGTCCCTGTCGCACGTGGCGCTTGAAAGGGCTGGGGCAAGCCTTGGCGACACCCGCACAATGCCTACATGAGGCCAATACATGAAACGTGCACCTTCATATGGGCGCATGTGTTAAGCCTCAGAAGGTTAGGTTTTACAAAAGTCAAAAAAGTCTGTGAAGCTCCACAGGGGTCCGTCCATGAAAGCCGGGAGGACGGTCCCCGTGAACGGTCTATGTCTTTTTGCTGTCATTGTTGTGAGCCAGCAAAAAACACATTGGAACGAGCTGTTGGGCAAGCCCGCGCAGTGCACACATGTCGGCAGGATGCAAGACACCCTCTGGTGGGAGGGAGAGTGTAAACCCACTTGTCGCACGTCATGCCATGGAAGCTGCACAGGCGCACGTGAGCGATGATGAGTCTAGGACTGGCCCTGCTTGGGAGAGTTTCCGTGAGGTCCTTCGGTTTTACAAGAGGGCTCTAAAGTGGAGCACCAGGGCCGCGCCTACGATATGGCCGTGTTTCTCGACTTCGTGCAGAAGTGTCGGGTCGACCCGAAGAAGCTGCTCTAAAGGGAAGCAGCAACCACGAAGAGACCACGAAGGCCTGCTGCCCCATTGAAGACGTGGGTTGCTTGGAGTGCCGCATTTTGAGCGGTCATTAAACATGGTGGGTCAGGCAGGCCATCAGGCGGATACAGTCACTGCTCAGAGGATCCTTAGCTCTGCACCAACGGCTGTGATGTGACCGGTGGCGAGCCCGGGCTAGGTTCGTGTGTCCGGATCTAGAGGGATTTACACAATCCGTGGTTGATAGGAAGAATGAACTTGCCGATGTGGCCAATGCACCTTCCACTCTAGACGAGGTTGTAGGTCCCTGACTTTCTGTACAGGTGAGATGATTTGAAGTACGAGTTCGTTGCATAAAGTACGAGTTCCACGCACCTATGGCGGTGAGGTCAGGGGACCTGATGCCCTGCATGAAGCCATGTCGCGGAGCACTAAGCGCCATGGCTGTAACAATCTTGCTGAGAGTCGTTCTGAGGACATTTTGATTGATCCCACGGTGAAGCTGCAGGTCATGTTCATGGTCATGCGCCAACTAGTGGGCCTGCACGTCCACTGCACAGGCTGCTGTTTTTGCTGAGCTCTCGCATTCTCCCTTCAACTATTTTTGGGCCAAGCGTGTTGGGCCAAGCGTGTAAGGTAGTTACCCAGCCGGGGTCCCTTGCACACACAACTCTACGCCAGGAGGTTATTCTGGCATTGAGGGGGGAACTTACAGACGGTTGGGCGAGTAAGCTTTTCCGCTTCCTAAAGCGTGTACAACTTGATGTGTGGGATGGATTACCCGCTGGGTATACGCGCGCTAATAGCACGGCAGGTTGGCGCATCGCACCGGGAAAACCCCTCCTGGCGGGGCCAATCCTTTCTGAGCTCCATCACCACGAGCGGAACTACGAAGGTCTGTCCGCAGTACCACATGATTTCCCTCCGACGGGAAGCAGCCAGGCATTTAAATGGCTAAACATGGCTGGGGTTGCCGTTTGAGAAAGCAGCTGGGGCAAGCTGCTAGTTGCCGCATGTCAATATTTTTATTCCTGTCAAAACGAATCGGTTGCTAATGCGTTTTCGTTTATGTTGCTGGCCGCTAGAAACAAATAGAGCTCATAGTGGGGATTGTGTGCGAGCGGAGGATCTGCTAGTTTTGCGAGCCCCAAGCCGTGGAAGATGAAAAGCATGTATTTTTGGACTGCCCAGCATATAGCGCATGACCCTTTGTGTCAGGTTTCAGGTGTTTCAGACTATGGAGGATGCGGTGGTAGCGGATGGCAACCTGCAGTGCCGAGCCTTAATCACAGTACCTGGCTAAGAAGGTTCTCAAATAGCAGGCGCGCACTACTACGGCATAACAGTCTGGTAAGTTCGATTAGTTCGACATAATCGTTTTTGAGCGGTAGGGCGATAGTTTTTCCTTCTGTGCTTTTGCGATACCTATCTGTTTCGGACAGCCTTCGGCCCCCTGGCCCTTGGGCCCCCGGCTCGTGTGGGCCCGTTACATCCTAGGAGAGTGACGCAACTCGAGAAGGTGTAACATACACAAGGACGCTGTCGACTTCCCCCTTCGCTCGGCTGGGAGTACCGATTTGCTGACTGAAGTTGCGATGAGAATAGCATTTCAGGCATGCGCATATGTGTGGGTGTTTCGTTGTGTTTTCATTTATGAAGGTGCGAACGTGTGTACGTGCATTCTCCGCGTGTGTGTGCACGTGAACTTATCGGTGCATGCGCGTATGCGTTCGTGTTCGTGTGTCTTTGTACTTGCGTGTGTATGTATGTGTGTATTACAGCGACAGGCGATGTGCAATTTGCCTCGGTTTCTTTGGATTACGGTATAAAAACTTGGTAGCCCGCTGTGAAAAGGAAGAGAAGATGTGTGTGCGTGTGTGCGTCCGCAAATGAGATCACAGAAGATCTGACCGGATCGCCGGCAGTGCTTCCCCCTCGCATACGCTGTGAATAATAAGCTAAGGCCTAAAGATGCACCGAGGTGCAGCCCCAAACAACCGGAGACGCATCCCTGCTCAGAGATCGGGGTTATAGGATAAAGGTCAGCCAAAATGGTGGAGTTATCTAGGTTAACCTAAAAGGAGTAGGTAGCCGAACAGGGCGCCCTGCATAGTAGCCACCTACTGCCAGGCCCAGGCCCAGGCCGGCGCATGACCTATGACTAGCTCTTGAAGACTTGGCTGGGCTCGGCACGGGGCCCGCCGGGGATGCCAATCACCCTGAGCGGGCCAGCCGATTACGCACGTACATATGGATGGACTCCAAAACCACCCTAAGCCAGGATAAAGGTTTATTCGTGAAGGCGCAGGATAGAGGTTCCAGCAGGGGCCCACAACTGCGTCTAAGCCAGCAGGCGGGCAGATAGCCAGTCACGCATGCAGACAGGCAAGCTTTTGCAGGTTGCTAGCAAGTGGGCGAGATTGCGTGAAACCAACTAGGCATGCATGCACACGAACTTGCAGGCAGGCAGGCAGGCAGGCAGGCAGCCAGCAAGGTAAGCCCCGCTTTAAGAAGTGAACGAAGCAGCAGGCATCCAATGTGTACTCACCTTGCCACGCCCCTTCTGTTACCGAGACCGCCGTCAGCATCTCCTCCAGCTTTACCGGCTCCAAGCTGAAAAGCAATTTCAGCACGTTGGCCTCCACCTCGCCTTCATCAGCCTGCTCCGGTGGAACAGTGTGCGGCTCTGCCGGGTGGCCCTGAGAGGCCGGAAGCAAGCCGTGGTCAAGCCCCAGCGCCACGCTAGAGGTGTTAGGAGTATGGCTCCGTGATAAACCCGCACAATACCCTTCAGGAGTCGCTCCGGGCCGAGCAGTTTCATCTGCCATTAATGCTGTGATGGCCGGCAGTGCTGCACCCACGCATGGTGTAGGCATGGCTGCAAGCCGGCTTCCAAGAAGCGCCCGACTGGCCGCGTTCTGGAACAGCACCACTCCACTATCCAGCATGAATACGGTCACTGCAGCGGGAAGCGCGTTCACGGCAGCTACTGGCCAGTGGTTCGGAGTTGCAGCTGTAGCTGCTGCGGCCACGGCTAAGCTGCACGGGATACTGGATGATGCCTCTGGCATGGCAGAGACAGGGTGCAGGAATGGGCTCTGTTGGTGATCAGCAGCGGCAGCGGCGCCGAATGTGCGCCGGCCGTTGGGAGGGTGGTCGTCGAGGTGGTGAAATTCCAGAAGCAGCGTTGGCCGGCATGCGGGACGCTCTGTCCCCACGCAGCCAAAGCAGCGACGGACCGGCTTTCTCAAATGGGATGTCAGGATGCATCCATCCTGCGGTATGGGGTCTTCCATGGAACAGCGCGTTGCTTGGACCGCCCAGCAGCAGGTACCCAACTTCGCATGGAAATACGTCGCTTGTGCGTCGTCCTCGGTAGTATTCCTTAGGGCTGACGCGAGTTTGCAGGAAAAATCGTTGCTTCGGTCACAGATCAACCCTTGTACGCATGCAGCGAGGTCGCAACTGCTAGCTGCCGCGTTGCAATAAGCAATGATGAGACCCTGGGCGCCCTTGTTTGCCCGCGGCCGTTCACCCTGCAAGCACAAGCTGATTGCCAGGACTGGAGTAGTAACTGAATCATATTGCCGCCGGAGGAGGAGTCGAGACGTGGGGATGTATGATAACTTCGCGACAGCCTGATGATGGACCTCATAAGGGCCGCCCACCCGCGCCTTCTTCTCATGGCTTATACAGAATAGGATATGGTGCCACCAGGACGGCCTCTCTTTTCCTCTCCTCATTACTTTCGCTTTGCTAAGTGCATTGGGTTGAATCTTTCAAGTGGGCGCGTTAGTCTTAGGCGGTTAAATTTTACATACGTAACCCACATATACATTGAGGTTTAAACGAATTGCGGTGAGGATCGGCCAAAATGTATTTTTAGGGCCGTACGACAGAGTTACGAAGTATCGTTCGCGAAGGACGGGCTGCGCTTTGGCACAAACCCTTGCTTTAATAACAAAATTTGGAGTATGAAATGATGCCAAGTTATTATTACTAGTGTGCGGAATAAGCTAACCCACGGGTACACGAAACGGGTGTACGCTCCGGCGAGGGCATACCAGCATGGTACAATGGTAATGACTGAGCTATTACGTTGAGACTTTGTTATTGTTAGGTTCAGTCAGCTTATTGTTTATCTTGTCTATCAACATTCCTGAAGCTAAGGCAGGTAGCCAAGCCAAGACACTAAACGGAGAACGAAAGTGGTTGGCATCAAATGCTACTAATATACTCATCTCGGCATGGAACATTAATAGCTTAGCCACTTTATAATATCAGAGACTTTAGTAAACAGAAAACCTTTAGGGTTCTTCGAGTGCCGACATATTTCAGACATATATAACCGATGGACGGTTAGTTATCTGGGTAATAGTCTAATTTGTATATTAATCTCTACTGCAGTGCACGGCCAGCTGGCCCGATGAGCTAGAGATGGCTCTACTCTTCGGGAGTCTGGAGCCCACTGTAACAACCACAAAATATTTCAGGTAGGGTCAGGTACATAACTTCCGCCTTTACTTCAATGAGTATAAACCAAGTGAATTAGCTGACCTGCAAGCCCGAGAAATATGAAAAAACGTTCGAGAGCTAAGGAACGGCACCGCAAGAAGTGTAAATATGGCCCGTGCAAAGGCTCTTCGCGTTTTAAGGCAAAACTTATGTAATTTATATGTGCCTAAAATTAAGTGGACAAGTACATGTTCATAATCGACAAGATGGAAAGGTACTTCTGCAATTCCAAGTACATCTAGCCACTAAATGTGCAATCTGTAGACGAGCAGAATAGCCTGTCTTCATGATTAAAATAAATCTTAAAACTCATTAATGTTTATATAGTCAGAAAAGTCAAGCCGGGTTTCGTAACGTTACAATTGTACTGCGAAAGGAGTGGCTCTCTAATTTTAGATTTTTGGAGCCACTCCTTTCCCTGCTAGCTGGTTTACAGGCTAGGGTTCGGGAACCCTGTCCTTCTTTGCTTAAAGAGGTTCGCCACACCTTCTGCATGTGACCGGTCGGGTCTTTCTCTCTTCGTACTAGCTTTCGCAAAGCGATGTGACCACTACTTAGATACCAGTAGGCAATTTCCAACGAGCGCTTGGCTGATTTCAAGAAAGCGGCCTGTCGTTTTTGTGAGAGCTGCGGTTGGCCGATATCGACCCTTTGGGAGCTTTGTTGGAGTGTTTGACTTAGGGTTGGCAATAGCTAATTTGCAATAACTAGTTTGCAAGAACTAGGAACCTCCGGAACCTACCTGCCATTTAGGACCCCACCAAGCAAGTGCTTGAATGTAAATGCTCGTCGCTCCGTACCGGACTAGCGTGAAGTGGGCCTTTGCGTCCAGCCTTACACCCGATCCCAATGTTTAATCAGGCCACACCACATCCCAATGCGCTTAATGGGTGGGTGGGAGGGTCTTCGGCTGGTCCGCAAGTTTGAAGTCTTGGGTCCGGAGCGGCGGTAAGATGCTTGCATTTATGACAGGGAAATTTATTGGCTTCCCTTGCGCCTTACTGTGGTCTCCAATGCGCGTGGTCGATTTACGCCCTGTTCGTCTGCCTACTTGCATCTCGGCTGACCTCCTTCTCCTTAGGTTTAGATTATTTAAATGTAATCCGCTGATTCCCGGTTGTCCTGAATGTGCGAATCATTTTGATGCGTTTCCGTACCGCTGTCGTGCCCAGGTCGATGGCTTTGCCTTTCTTGGCACTGGCGCGACTGGCTCCGTGCAACCTTCCTTTGTTCCTGGTCGGGGCTTGCGTGGCGTGGTGAGGTGTCGCCGAGCGATTGTGTTGTCCTTTGCGCTTCCGATAGACGGGCCCGGCTCTCCGCAGGTCCCTCTTCACCCTGGCGGCCTCGGCCTTCCGGGGGGTCCGCTTTCCCTGGTTGGATTGTCGGCTCCATCTCTCGAGTCTCCGCCTTTGGCGCCTTCTGTGGGTTATCTGTTTGCTGTCCCTGTTCTGTGTGCGATGTTGGCTGATTCTCGTGCCTCGCGCTTGCCGTAGGGATTCTTTCCTGGCCCTGGGGTTGTCGCCGGCGCCGCCGCCGGATCTGCCGGGCCCTCCGTTAGCCGGCCTTTTCCGCTGGGCGTTTCTGCCCAGGTTGGTATAGAAAGTCCTTTGGCTGTTGGCCCGCTCTAGCGCTCTCCTAAGCGATTCTCTCGGCTGCAGGCACCTGCCCCCTTGGGTGTGGCTCACGGTCGCCTAGACCCAGTAATCGCTCGGCTCCGCCCTTCGCCCCTCATTTCAGCCGCGGATCAGGAAGCGTCTTACCAGCGGGGTCTGGCCGCGGCCAACCAGATGCTCCTTGGGGCTCTAGCCTCTTCTACGGTGTCCCGCCAGGATGGTGCCGCCACTGAGTTCCTGAGCTGGCTTTCCAGCCATGGTCGCGGTCGGAACTGGTGGAGTTGTACGCCAGACGACGTACTCGTCTATATGACGGTTTGGTGGCTGCCCCGGCATCAGGGCCGAAGTGGTGGCCCCGTTGGGCCTGCCGCTGTTAAATCCCACCTGTCCGCTCTGAGTGGTTTCTTCAGCCGTGTGGGCCGGTGTGGTCGATTCGACGTCTCTACCGGCCAAGGCAACCCTTGCGATTGCGTCTGGGTCGAGGATTTCCAAGCTTCGTATCAGCGGTCCCAGGTCACCACGGGTTACACCGAGGTTTCGGCCGTACCTTTGTCTCACAACAAGTACCGTGCTCTCGTGGGCTACTAGTGGTCGCAGGTGGCGGTGACTGATGAAGCTTTGCCCCGACTGGTCTTCCTGCGGGATCTGCTGTGTGTGCTTCTCCTGTGGCAGACTGCCCAGAGGGGCCACGATATCGGGAAGCTGGGGGTGGGTGACTTCGTCGAGCCTTCCCAGCCCGACCGACCGTACTCTGGTTTCCCGCTACCTCCGCCATGGTCCTGGGGCCCCGGTGAAAGCCATACCCTCTGCTTCCGTCAGCGGGGGACTAAGACCTACCGGCTGGTGCGTGCCCCCCCGGTGCTGCTGCGGCCCAACAGTGAGGACCCCCCCTTTTGCATCCCGCGTACTCTGGCTTTGTATATGTGGTCTTGTGCCCAGCCTGGTGCCCCTCCTGGGAGCGCTGTCCAAGACACGCTGTTTCGCCCGCTGACGGCGGACCAGCGGGCTTTCAAGGCGGAAGCGCTGCAGAGTGCCACTCTTGCCGCGCGGTTACGACTCCACCTGCGGGCTGCTCGGTTGTACGACGGGGAAACTGTGCATAGTTTCCGCCGTGGTGCCCTGCAGGCCGCTGCGTCGGCCGGTGCGGGAGTTCCCGCCCTGATGGAGTTCAGCCAGCTTCGGACTCCGGCGGTGCTGGAGCGTTACCTTGATCCTCATCGTCACGACCGCAATGTGCGGCCCCGCAACTGAGTGCCTGCTTCTCGTCTTAGCGGGTTTTGCGATTGTTAGACGGTTTACTTTAGTCGCCGGAGGTCTCTGGGCGGTACGTCTAGGGTGACTGGTTGTGTGGTCTTGTCGCTCGCCCCCACCCCAAACTACACCAGGGGGGGGGACGGGAGGGGTGTAGTTTGGCTGGCTCTTGGTTGTCTCTACCCGCTACCTTAGCGAAGAGACGTTAAAATGGTATTGAGAGAGAGAAACTGATTTGCGCGGATGCTCGGTATGTTGGAGTTCACTTGCTGTCGTACCACCGTTGTTGCGAGCATTTAAGTCTCTGTAAGGCTTCAAGGTAACATTTTTGCTCCCCCGTACGTATTTCCACTCCAGTCCAAGTTCGTTGCGAAGACGGATGAAAACCTCAAAAGCACGCACACAGCGATAGTGGTCCGGCAAGGCGCCTGTCGGGGGTTCGATTACATGCCGGGATAACTGGTTTAGCTACATCTGCCCACTGGTGCAACCTCCCTCTTGCTTAGATAACAGTAACTGGCTGAGCAAGTCGCAACCAACTGCCAAGTGCTAAACCTGTCACGCTCAGCTCCTCTTTTAATGTCATTGGAATCCTGAAAGAAATTCGAAAGGCCAATGTTGATAATTCGTGCAGAACTTGGGCGCATTGTAGCGTGGAGAGATCTCGGTACTGGTTCTGGAGCGAACTGCTATGGACGAGACATCAAATGCACGTACGGCACCGGGGGCTTATTACCTAGATAGGCTTGGATGGGTCTGGGGATTTACAGGATGCACGTGGAGGATCGTTCCTCCTCTCTGGCGATCGGAGATGAATCATCAACAGCTTTGTGCTATTGCCGTGCATGCGCACTCGCCTGTTGCCTTCCACATGCGGAAGGTATGCGATTCATGCATTACTGCGTTCATCGCCGACCGCCATTGCCTTTGAAACCGAGGTCCCGTTCCGATTCATTGCGGGGCTGTCCACTTGTGGGGTCGGCATAAATTCAGTCATCCAGGTCGTAATCCAGAAGAGTAGTATTTTGTCGTCTGTCGCCCTCCCTCGTCCAGTTCAGATGATTCTTAGTTGTGTGTCCTTGTAGATAGAATTAAATGCCCCTCACCTCCCTTCACCTCACCCTACCACACCGCCCATCTGGCTCCTGTGGGGACCCAGACAGGTGGCTCGACAGTCCGTACACAAGGTTTCTTACTTGTACAATAATTGCCGTACACGCATCACTACTTCTTCAGCAGTAGCGCATGCATCCCCGACCCCGGCGATGTGATCTCTCGCGCGACAGACATACATGTGTACATACAGACGTCAACAGTCCTTCCCCTTGGCCCTCGTCCGTCCCCCCTCCCTTTCCTTCCGTTTCACCTCTCCTCTCCTTTCCCTTTCAATTCTTATATGATCATATTTCCCCTCAAGATTAACTTCCGGTCACCAAAATTCGTTGCCTATGTGCAGAACTGCAGAAGCTTCCCCCGCCTGCGCCTGTGTACGGCATAACTATGTGTGGATGACAGACCCACAGGTAGCTATCCCGTATCCGCCTGATAGACCCCTCACTAAAACACACACACACATAAACCTTTCCCCCTACTTTTATCATACATGACATATATACATACAGTCCCACAATGCCATGCCATATCCAACAGCTCCCGCCCTCCAGGCCATGTTTCCCATCAAGCCCTTTTGAGTTCACAGCATCAAGATCCTGCATTCCAAGCTCTCCACCACTTCCAACGCAAACCAAGCATTGGCTCCATCGTCGCCGTCACCGCCGCCGCCGCCCTCGTCCATAGTAGTTCGGAACTTCCGGTCCACGCCGTTTGGTTGCGCTGAAGCGCAGGCTTCCCACACCCCTCCACACGCTTCCCCACTTCGTACCCCTCCGCCCACGGTGCGGAGACGGCGACGGCGATCAAGCGGGTTCCACAGCAGCTGTACGTACTGCTTTTATATTATTCCACCTTACTTGAAGGCCCTACGAATAAGACCTAAACCCTTGCTGACCTTTCAGCCACACATGCCAACCTTGCCTCCGTTACGTTTCCCACGAACATCACTGCCCATCCCGTACAACCCAACCGCAACCAAACTGCAAATACAGTTTTTTCTGTTGCAGTAGCTTTCGTTACCCTTGTCGCCAGTAGCGGCAGCTTCAGTTTATTGACTGCGGATGCAAGGATGCAATGGCATCGGAATAAGCTGGTGTTTGTTAGCCAGCCATTTTATTCTTGGTTGTTTAGGTAGTTCGGCGGTCGATACGGCCCCCCCTCGACCCAGCCGGATCAACAGTCTGCATTCAACCGCCCTAGTAATAGATGCGGGACGTCGAGGCATACTCCAGTGACAGAGCGGGCAAGTCCGCCATTTTGGCCAAATCGGGGTCGGCAGCCTTCAGTTTAGCCATGGCCAGCTTCTGCAGGGCGCGAAGGCAGATCAGCGTGTGCATGGTGTTGCGATGGTGGGCGCAAGGATGAGGTAAGGTGGGTGGGTAGGTTTAGACCTGTGAAGGGACTCAACCAAAAACACAAGGCGAACACATTTCCTAAAATCCTCGGCTGCCCCCGGCAGCCCCCTCAGCAATGCACATATCGCTCACAGGGGCAACACTTCAACCTATTTGGCCATTCTGCAAGCTGCACCCATCCCTCCGTGCCTTCCTTCCCCTCTCGACCCCCGGCAAGCACCGCGCCACCGGGATCAGCCAGATACCTCTCCAGTTCTTCCTTAAGGGCTCCTTCCTCCTTACGAGCCCAGAGGCCCCGCAAAACCCTAGACCCCACCCAGCCAACCGCTGCGCCCGCATGAACACACGTGTCTGCTCCGTTCCGCCTCACCGTGAGGCCGTGTGGGTATTGCTGGCTGGTGTTTTGAGCCAAAGTCTTGGCCGCTGTAAGTTGCTCGTACAGCACCTGGGGGAAGGGGATGAGGCAGGGGTGGGTGATGATGGAGGGGGTAAAGATGGGGGGATGTTGATGGGGTATTTGGGTTTCGTAGCCAAGCAGCAAGTGCAGCAGCACAGTGAGTTTAGAGCGGGGCTGACGGGATGCTGGTGAGGCCGCTGCGCTACATGGAGCGTCGGTATGAAAGCTTTCAACAAAACCCTTGAAACACATTCGTGTCGTACTGCACTAACGCCCTTCCTCCATCTTTATTTACGAGCCATCCCCCGCACCACGCGTTGTAAACGCACAAAGCAGCCACATGTACACACACATACAAACAAACAAACAAACAAACAAACAAACAAACAAACAAACAAACAAACAAACAAACAGACGTACATACATGTGTGCATGTACACACCTGGCGCTTTTTCAATTCCTCAGCCTGTGCCTTACGCTCCTGCTCCGCATCTGCCGCAATGGGCGCCATATAAGCTTTGACGTGTGTTCGTACATTTGCCGGGAGCTGTGACTCGTTGAATACCCGGAGCGACTGTTGTGTATTCGACGTGTACGGCGTGCCATAAGTACCGGTGTGACGCGTGCGAGTGTGACGTGTGCAGGGTTGTGTGTACGGGGGATAGGGCCCGGGGGGGTCAATGGACAAGCAATCAGAGAGATAAAGATTAAGGTCGAATGCATCACCTTCCGGAGTTGCATTACATTCCAAAGGTACAACAGGCCCTTACGAGCAAATAATATAAAACATAATCCTTTGCTAAAGTTTGACGTAACCCTCTGCGTGCTCGGGGAGAAGCGATGTGCTTCCCCAGAACGCAAGACCACTCAAAAATGCAATGCTTTGACGCGTTGGAACGCACGGACATCCAAACCTCCCCCCGAACCCTCCAGGGCCCCGTGGACCCACCGGGCATAACTCAAGACTTAAACACACACACGCACAACCCCCCCCCACACACACCTACCCACACACGTACCCATGCTCCGTCTGTCATGGCAATTAAGCTTTGTTTGCTTGTTGCCTTCATAGGTATACACACACGTGATGTTACATACACAAACATTTATTTTTGATTTATTATATGAATTGATTTATTCATTTTTATTATTCTTACAATTTTTATTATATTTATATATTAATTAAAATAATAATCAAAATAATACAACGGCGGAAGTTCGCTGGGGGGTCCCAGGAGAAGCCGTACCGTCTTGGCGGACGCAGGTCGGACCGGCGCGACCACCGACCCAGCGAGAGGGTTATCAGCACTTGTGCGCAGGGAGAGGTCGACGAAGCTGTGTTTCCGAGATGTGCGCCCCCCCTGTGTTCGAGGCAGGTGGTTGTTTCATCAGGAGCGGGGTGAAGGGGAAGGGGGCTGGGTGGAGGAGGAGGAGGAGGAGAAGTGCGCATTAGAGGCCGCACTAGGGCTCTCCCGAGTATGATGCCCCGTCGGAAAATTGTCGCTGTTAAGATATCAATCCGTCGTTGCGTTTTCGCGGGTGTATAACGGTCTTCATGATCGCGATGTGCAGCAGGCGCAGGGCCCCCAGGGGGCCCAGGGCCGGAGGGAGTGGTGTGAGTCTTTTCAAAAGGGAAACTTTTCGCAGGGGATCTATTGCAAAATTGCTTGAATCAAAGTCGCATCAAGCTGCATGTCGTTGATAAGTTTGGTAAACATAAAATTAAGCGCTTGGGATTTTGGATTGCTGATGCGCATCCGGGATTGCAACTAGCCAAGGCAGGCAAGATCGCAGAAATGGAAGCGCGACCGCCGTCGCCACCGCCGTCGCGGCGGTTGGTTGGCTTAATATGCAAAAGTGAGCAGCTGAGAACGTGGCACATATATTCACAGGCCCAAAGCTAAAGATGGATTTTGGTAACAGGCAGAATGAAAGGAAGGAAGGGAGCGCCTGGCAATCTCTGTATGCGGTTACTAATACGTTCCAAAGCGACACCAGAGGGTCATTCCGCCCAAAGGCCGCCCGATCTCATTAGAATGCGACATGCCACGAAATTGATTTTGGGAGTTAATTATTTTAACATCCTGCGACCCCAGTGACAGCAAAAACGAACCTGCGCTTCAGCCTCTCTCCGTGCCCACTCCGCAAGCATGACATCTCGAGCCGCACCCCGCTGTCCGCTCTTCGGGCGCAATACTCTTTCCTCAGCTTCAATATTCCATGCCGCTTTGACGTGCTCGAACTGATGCATCAGCTGCCGACGGGCAGGCACATCTAGTAAACCGTAGACCGGGCGACCTGAAGTTGACAATAGTGACCATGTCAAAAATAAGTAGTAGCTCTTAGCCGTGATTTGTATGAAGATGTATCAGTCGGCTTGGCCTGTCATGCGTGTGCGTGTGGCATGCCAAGGATGGCTTTAACTTGCCTGCTCGATCATATGCAATCGCTCCCTTTGGCAATGTAAACCTTGATGAAGTCAGGTCCTCTTTAGTCTCCTTCATTATTCTTTATCAATGACTTTCCTTCCAACAGGGTTAAACGGCGGAACAAGTTGAAAGAATTATTGCCTCTGACTTAGAATTGCACTTTGTATTAAAAGCCCTCTTTTATGAAGGTTTTTCAGTCGGCTGGCTTGAATCGTTCCAAAGTACGGACGCCGGTGTTTCGCATTTACTTCCATAAGCCAGCACAAGATGATTACCAAAGAAGTTTCCTGCATAAGTGCTCAGATTTCATCCTCTGGAGGCAGCCTAGAAGCAAGCAAACTGCCTATCCACGAAACGACGCGAAACTCGATAATGTACGACCAAACGCAGAACTTCCAGGGCGCCAGGCTCGACTGCTGCTGACACGGCCACTAGACTAAGAAAATTAAAGGTAAAACGCCTTGCAGTCCGCCTTGCTCCAGTTTTAACCTCGTTATGGTTAGCGCCTTGAGGCATTAACGGCGCTCCAGGGAGCCAGCGCTGCCTCACCCACTCCTCCGCGTCAACTTCTGAAACCCGCTATGGGGACCTTCTGCAGTATAAAATAACCAGTAAACCTAGCACCTGAAGACTCCTGCACGCTGAAACCCCAAAAGAAGTTTACTGCCGCCATAACAGCCCCTAGGGAAAATACGCTTCCACCGCCCCGCATCTCACTGCACCGCACCACGTCCTTGCCGCTTTCAAGATATACCTTCGATAAGAGTCGAACTCAGCCACCTCTCACATGCACATGGCGAGGGCAAGAAGGCGAGGGCAAGGGGTAGAAGGTGATGGCGCGGGTGAGAAAGCGACGGCGAGGGTGAGAGGGCGATGGTGAGGGTTTCCCACTCCTTCCAACACGCCAAATAAGGCAAAAAAACGTCCATAAATTTCATCGTGAATTAGGGTTGCAGCTCACTCCTCCAAGTCTTTCTCTTCAGAGAATTAAGGAACACACACGCACAACGTACTACATTCACAGTAACCCCCACCACCCCGCTCCAGGGTGGTAAAGGACCTTCCTGAAATGGTCGGGTTGCCGGTTTTCCCCTTCCCATGCCCGTCGGGCCCACCCGATAGCGTTTTTGCATATCTTTCAATTTCTGTCGGGTGCCCCGATAGCCCATCCCAAAAGGTGCGACCTGAACTGCGCGGATTCTTCTGAGCAGGACCGTCTTGCGCGTCAACACTGCGCTTCTTCATGCTGATTGATTTCACCGAATGAAGCCAACGGTCGAGCAGGTTCAGCTTGAGAAAGCTGTTTTGGTAAAGCCCACAGACTTACAGGACGAGGCAGCAAACGTTCGAAAGGGTAATGTAAAGCTGCATATGGTCTTTGTATTACTTGTCAATAAGGTCGAGATAAGGTAGTGTGCCCTTCGCTTATGTATCCAAGCACGGATCCCTGTACAGCAGAGTCAAAGGATAAAGAAGGAGAGGCAACGACGTGAACGAATGCTACCACTACATTACATATTTCCATCCAGTTATATTTGTATGAATGCCATTATGTATCGCTGTAGCTGTCCGTCGCCGGAGGGCCAACCGACGACCCACGGCACCCGATCGGGCGGTCCTAGCGCCCCTAACCCTGTCGGGTCCCCCGACGGGAGCCCTCCGGGCCCCGTCGGGGGCTCCCGATGGCCGTTTGGCGTTTTCCCCCTTTTCGTCGGGTCCGCCCGACAGCATTTTCCAAAGCCTGTCGGGATTTTCAGCACAAGTGCCATTCCTGTCGGGACCCGATCGGACTGGACCACCCTGCCCCGCTCTCTCCGTGTAACAGCCAACGGGAGAAGAGGACTCAATTTTTCAGGCCGGAGGTCGGTCTGTGTGGCTCGTCCATCATCACCTCAATCCATGCAGCCCCCATTCCCAGTTTCACGTGTAGATTTTCTCGGGCCTCGACCCCCTCCCCACCCGTCCAATAAACCCCCTTTTGCCCCCTTCACCACACCGTCCAATCCCCCCCTCGCCAACGTCTCGGGAATAAATGGTGTGAGCCCGCCTGTTCTTTCCTCCCACTCTCTCCTTCCTCCTCCTCCCACCCCTCCTTCCTCGCACCTTCCCCCTCTGTCTCCCCTCCTCCTTCCCCACCCAACCTAAGCAGCAGCGCCTTACGGAGGTCAGCCAGCGCCTGTAGCAACCGGCGCGGGCCGAGAAGGCGGGGTCTTGGGTGGGCAGAAGTAGAAGCGAGGGGTGGATGGCCAGGGAAGCAAGCAAGGCCTCGCATAGGCCTCATCTAGTAACAACGTGCAAGTTCTTACCAGTATTTGCTGATGGGCCTTCTGGTGGGGTCCGAGGACTTTTTCCAAATGGGGAGTCTAATGGCAAAATCCGTAGTGGTTGCGGGTTCTGAGGCTTCCGTTTGGGTTTGCTTTTGACTGTCTAGGTGAGTTGCGTTGTCTGGTCTGGGTGGGAGTCTTGTTTGCTCTCATCGCATCAGGTGCAGTGCACGGCCCGCTGGCTCTACTCTTTGTGAGGCTGAAGCCCACTGTAAATCACATGCACACACATACATACACATACACTTAGGGTTTTCTTTCCTGTTTCAAAACCCTAAGTTTCAGCTATTTGTGCTTGTGTGTCATTCAAGGTAGAGGTGTCAAACACGTTCGCGCACTTGCTTGTTGTAGTAATATCGGTTCAATACTTCTCCCATTGTAAGATCCGCCCTACAGGCGCGGAAAACTGAATCAATCACGTATGTAGTCGCTGTATTCGCGTATAAAGCTGGGCGAAATTTTGCGATTTGTTTTGCAACAAGCCATAATTCATATTACGTAAAAAATTTCGCAGTTCTGCCGATGCGTTGTTTCTTTCACCTGGTCGACTGTGCACTGGTCACCTGTGCAGCTAGCAACCGGGCAGTATGTAACACTGGTTATGTGACATTGTTTATAAGCTGAAAATAAGTTGAAAGAAATGTAATCCTGATTATTGCAACTCAGGATCTGGGTAGGTTGGCAGAGATGGAGCTTGCAAGTGAAGATGACCCGTAAGGATACCAAAGATAAATATTTGTAGTCCCAACAGCAGGTCACGTATTACTATATGCAATACTACATATAAAGATGGAGGCTAGAGAGTGGACTGCCTTCCAGACACCAAAGTTGCCTTTGGACATTTCCCGCCGACGGAAACAACCTTATCCGGTGGTACCAAACCCTCCTGCAGCGGTTCGATGTGCTGGCCTTCCGCACGTGGCATAAGAGTGCAGATGGCTTTTGTGCTGCAATGGTGGCAATATGGGTCTACCTTTCAGACGTCAGACCGCAGCGTCAATATTCCGACCCCTCGATTTCTCGCAACGACGGACGGAGGGAAAACACTACTGGTAACCAAAAATCCACCGGGAACAAGTTGCAAAGCCAAGGAAATGGTGCATGATGCACCATGTCACAAAGATGAAACATAGAATAAAGGTACATGCTTTTTTTCCATGCATAACTGCTTTATAGTAAGAAGTAGCAAGGCAGGGGCCTAGCGATCCGTCGACATCTCATCGGTCGAAGCCGACGAAGCCCCAGTCGTTAAGTCCAAGCATATGTCAGAGAACCAAGTAAGCTGCCCCCAACTCATCGGTCTGTAAAGTTTATCAAAATTCTTAAGCAGCCTAGCTCGTTCATGGCAGAGCGCACGCACAACATCTCGGCGAAGGCCCTTCAACCTCCGACGTCTCATTACGACGTCAACATCCCCACTCCTAGCCCACAACTGTGCCACCACAGCAACGATTTAAGCAAATTATTCAACTTACTTGAACGACTCGGTCCCTCATCTCTGAGGACCTCTTGGAATCTATCAAACCAATAACAAATTACAATTCGATAAAACATACATACGTCGCATATGCCGCGTGGCGGCCCGTTGCCTTTCCAAAAAAAGTTTGTCAAGTGGATGAAAGAGGAGCAGCTGCTGTTTCTCGGCTGATGGCTCCTGACGACATGGTCCGCAATGGCGAGACTTGGTCATGCACTTGGAAAGCGGGGACAAATTGCGCCTGCTCAAATCAAAAAATCAGTCCACGCCTGCTGGACAGCAGGTGCAGGGTGTTGATAACCACCTTGGGCGTGACCGCAGGTTCAGTTCTCCAGCAGGCGTTCCACCTTCCTCGAGCACCATCGCATCCGCAGCGCACCCAGCCCGGGCACTGCCTACGGTATTGCTCCAACCATGGGCTGCACCGGGAAACGGGGCAAACAAGAAAGGCAGAAGACACAGAACTAGTCAAACACCCGTATCACAAATGACCATATCCTAACAAGAGATATAACAACAGCAAACGGGCAGGAGAGCCGGGCCATATTGGTTGATCGCAAAAGACATGTATGGATATATATGCGGCGTATGTGGTTGTGGAAATGCCGCGTGATGCGTGCTCAGCGCGATGCTGCAGTCGGCCATCATCAATTCGGAAGTGAGGCTGATTAAACCGAGGGCCAAGGAGGGACTGCCAAAGGGGAGAAAAGCAAATCCGTTGGTGTGACCGGGTTCAGATGATTTGGATCATGGCGGCTTCAACCCCTCCTCTCTTCCGCTTCCACGCACCAGCTCAGTCCTAAATATGCTGACCGCCCAATTGCCACCGCATATCTGACAGTCGTTTCCGGTGCACGCGTAGTCGCAGCTGCTGCTTCGTCCGTTGACCCAGGCAGCTTCCAGACTGTCACCCCCGTAACACTCGACGCCGCTTTCCAGGCCGAAGTATTCAAAGCCTGTGCATGCGCAACAGACGCAAACACAGCGGCGGCAATGTCGGTGCAACGAAGGGGGCATGCTTAGCCGGGTCATAAAGTGTGCAGGCAGATGCTCGGAGTCGCGCAACTCCGTCGCACCCGCAGCACGCCTAAATGAAACTCCCGCCGCCCCTGGACGGCTCGAGTCACACAGCTAGCATAGCTTGCAAGGAGCCCGAAGAAAAGGCCCTGAAGTGCCACATTGGCCCCGCAGCCGCACCGCTGGCCCGGCCCATACACCTCTCCTTAAATCCATTACACACCCACCCGCGACACGAGCTGTGTGGCGCCCACCCAAAGCCAAGAAGTGCCCAGTGCCTTCTTGCCCTGTTGCGCCCCCTGCCCCTACCCCGCTCTAAAGCCCGGCCCCCTATCCATCACCACAACCTCACAACACCAGGAAACGGAAAAGAAAACAATCCTGGTCGGGGCACCATTGCGAAAATTTCGTGCTACTACACGCTTTCCCCAAACGAAAAAATTGCGCCTCGCCCACCCGCCCACCCCACCCGCCCACGCACACACACCTCCTTCCTTCGCTAGTTGCCGGCAGCGGTCCACCGTCATGTTAGCCGGGGACACCTCCAGAAGGGCCGGCAGCGAGCGGACAGGGTCAGAGTCCGAAAAGCACCCTACGAAGTCCCCTGCAGGCCGGACGACCATGCACGCGAGTGAGGGAATACGTCAGGGAGGGAAAAGTAAGTTGAGCGGCCCCTGTGAGGTTGCAGGCCCTGGCATCACCCTGCAGAAAACCAGTTGCACTTTCCCCGGCAAACAAGTCGTCCAGATTTCAAGGGAAGTCAGAAGTCAGCTAAACTTATCGCATTTCCTGAGAACAACATGTGTATTGGAACTTTCTCCGTGCAATGTGTGTTTTGGACCCCCTCCTCTGCCGCCCACACGCCTTTATATGGACATGGTGTTAAGACCAGCAAAGCGCCGGACCCCCCCGGGTCCTATTACTGCTGTGTTACCATCCACTGGTATATGAGTGTCGGTCATTTCCAACACATGGCAGGAAGCCCACCGGTCCAAGCCCCCGTTACACGAAACATCTACTCCCTCCCCCCCTCTACTCCTGCCAGCAGCTGGACTGAGGAAGCCGCCCGCCGCTCTAGATTAGGAGGCCACCCTCGAGTAGGGTCGCCAGGACACGGAGGAGTGGATTGACTGCTTTGGTCGAAATGAAGGAAAGACGGTTAGAGACAGTGCAAGGCTGTGGTGGCCTAAGTGCGGCACACGACCAGGAGAGGGCCTCTTTCCTCACCTAGCGGCAGGGCATGTGGCGGTGGCGACGGCGGCACGGGCGGCGACGGCGGTGGGAAGATGGTGCGGTACACGCTGACCGCCCAGTCGCCGCCGCACACCTGGCGGCGGTTCCCCGCACATGACCACGTGCAAGAGGAGCTGGCGCCCAGAGAGACGGCCTGGCTTAGGTCGTTGCCCCCGAAGCACTGGCGGCCAGCCTCGAGGCCGTAGTACGACAAACCTGGACAAGCAGGGAAGGTACGACAGGAACGGATGGGCGGGTGGGTGATGAAAGCAGATGGGCAAATTGGCAGGGCGGCCCGCGCGCTGCGGTCTCTGCACCTACCGCCGACTAGCAGTTGGGCTGCATCAGGGGTTGCATGAGCAGACGCCGGTAAAGAAGGCAATGACGGTGTGCTGTGGAAGGACATGATCCACCCACAGCACACATGCGGCCAGCAAAACGCCACTTGGGGTGTATGTTTCTATGCACCACATATACGTGTGTGGTACAACGCGGTGTTACACGGGTGGTTCGCCCACGTGCTCTCTTTCCTGATGCTATGGGACGCACGACCGCCACGTACGCCCTCTCACAGCTGCCGTGTTTCCCATTGCCAAGATACATCTTGCCAAATGTCATCCTTAAGGCTTAGGCTCATTCGCAGACAGGGCCCCCCTGCTGGCTGCCCAGGGCACGTGTACGTGTTGTTCCGCCCTCCATGAGGAGACCTTTCGCAGAGCCGTTACAATCCGAACGATACCCCCAGGTTATACGTGTCATACGGGCCGGGGCGGAGGGGAACCCCTATCCAGGCCGAAAACCCGGAGCATGTCCATCCAAGGTAGTTGGGCGGTTAGGTTGGGTGGTTAGGTTGGTTGGATTGGGGTTTAGATGCACTGATGCACTCACCAGCCTCCAAGGCGAGCTGGCGGCACAGGTCGATGGTCATGTTGTCGGCGGTGAGCAGCACTATGGGTAGGACCCGTGGGTCGGCGCTGTCCATATAGCAGCCCACGTAGCAGTCTGAAGGGGGCAATCCAGTGCACGATATGGCATGAGAGAACGGCAGAGCAGTTTCTTCTCGTACGATGTACGACACGAGAGAGGAAGATGTTAGACATGCGCAGGGTTTCACCAAGCTAGGCATCACACCACCCCCGGCAACCAACAAGGCAGCCTTACCCCCGAAGCCTGCGGCCCCGCAACCCCTGGGGAAGCCCCTAACCTCATTTCTGCTTCTTTACGGTCAGATAAATTGTGTGTCTGCATGTATGTCTGTGTCTATGTCGTGGAGATAACAGAGCTGTTCGGGAACCCACCTGACTTGAGGTGGGGCGGAGGTGGAACTGGGGGCTTGGGAGAAGGAGGTGGCGGTGGGGAAGGTGGCGGTGGAGGCGGAGGATATGGCGGCGGAGGTGGCGGTGGCGGTGCCGGCGGAGGCGGTGTTGGAGGGGGTGGTGGAGAAGGTGGTGGTGGTGGCGGCGGCGGAGGTGGCGGCGGAGGGATAGGTGGTGGCGGGGGTGGTGGGGGTGGCGGTGGAGGATGTGGCGGTGGTGGAGATGGCGGTGGTGGTGGGGAAGGCGGTGGGGGTGAAGGTGGCGGCGGCGGTGGGGGCGGCGGCGGTGGAGGATGTGGCGGTGATGGAGATGGGGGTGGTGGTGGGGAAGGCGGTGGGGGTGAAGGTGGCGGCGGCGGTGGGGGCGGCGGCGGTGGAGGATGTGGCGGTGGTGGCGGCGGTGGAGATGGGGGTGGCGGCGGTGGTGGTGGCGGCGTCGGCGGTGGTGGCGGAGGTGGGGGGGTTGGCGGTGGAGGATGTGGTGGAGGCGGGGGTGGAGGCGGCGATGGAGGATTAGACGGAGGTGGCAACGGCGGCACTGGAGGTGGCGGTGGCGAAGGTGGAGATGGAGAAGGCGGCGGTGGTGGGGCTGGAGGTGCGGGATGCGGTGGCGGCGGTGGTGGAGGCGGAGGATAATGGGGTGGCGGCGACGATGGGGCATGCGGCCGAAGCGGCGGCAGGCTGGGAGGCGGCGACGGTGGCGGCGGGTTTGGAGGCGGCGGCGACGGAAGCGCCTCGACAAACGCCCAGCGTTCATCGGTACGGAGCAGCACCGTGCCGTTCGGCGCCCAGAACGCGGCGGCGCCGGCGGCATAGCTCAGGCGGTTGTAGCAGCGGAGCAGTACGAGGTTGTAGCCGGCGGCGAAGTTGACGGTGATGTTGGCGATGTTGGGCCAGAATGCGGACGGCGGCCATACCTGGTCGTTCACTATGACGGTTACATTATCGTCGACGACGATGCGCACTTGTACACCGGAGAGGGCGGCCGGCAGGTAGAGGCTGCGTGCGAAATAATAGACGGCGTCGGTGGGCTGGGGGTTGAACAGCGCATCTGGGCGAGACCATATCCATTTGGTAATGTTGTCGGGAGTGAAGACCAGACCGTTGTGACGCTTGAACGTAGAAACGACTGAGAGTGGGTCAGGCCATGGTATGCAAGAGAAGAGGAAGAGGAAAGGGGGGAGAGGGAAGGAAGGGGGGGGGTCACCGGGGGGAGATTGTTTAAGGAAGAAAACCCTAAGTTAGGAGCCGAGAGAGGGACGGGCGGCCGGTGGGAATGGAGCGTCGAGTAGGGGGTTCGAGTCCGGCTGGGGCCGCCGCAAGGTGGTCCGGGTAGACCCGGTGGGAGGGCAGGACGGGGTGAAGCCCATCTTCCCCCCCTCCCCCCCTTTGCGCTTTGCTGGTTGCAGCCGCCAAGTGAGCAATGCGCGACGACGCCATGCACTTGGCACGTAATTTCGACATCTCCCTCTTAACCATTGCAAATGGCTGACTGGGATATTCCAACCACAGCTGGGTGAGGACAAAACCAAACAGGACTACCATCACCTTAGAAGCAACCGCAACCGCAACCGCTACAACTGAACCACAACAATCCCCACGAGGCCCCCCCTCAGCGGCAGCCTAGGGCCCCAACCCCACACCTCGTTTCGCCCCGGCCACTCGGCCGTCATCACGCCAGAATCCTGGGTAGATGTGGCCGGGAGGAACGAGAGCTCCCTCGTTGTCCTTGAGCCGGCAGGTCTTGCTGCTGTGTTGGTAGTCCCAGAACATGCAGTCGGGGGCGGTGTAGCAGGCCTCACAGCAGGCGCCCTCATCGGGCAGGATGAGGGTCTTCAGTGCGCGGATATCGTCACCGTACCCAGCGCCGTACTGCAGAATGCTGCAGGCTGTTTCGAGTCAGGTGTACGGCGGGGGTAGACGCGTGGTGGGCCAAGGCGTGGGGGGGGGAGGGGCGGGTTACTTGGTCAGTGCGATCACGGGTGAAGCGGTGTGAGAAGTAGTAGTACATCGTAAGTGTTGTGAAATGGGATTGCGAGGCGGGCCGGAGGTGAACAGCGTTGTTGGTGGTTGGTTGCCGGAGTTGTAGGTAATTGCCTGTATGCGCAGCTGGCCGTTGTCACCGTTGGTTCGGAGCTGGCTTTGCCTCTGTTGTTTGTCGTGTTGGGCTTCCTCACAAGCTCGCACACCGAAGCCCAAGCAGTTCCCATGAAGGGCTGCCGAGTTGGCAGACCAGCCGGCAAACGCCTCAATAACCCCAAACGGCACACCGGCTGTACCACCGGGCGGCAGATGCGCCACCCTGGACGCAGAGACTGTAGGTTTTCTGAGAGTAACGAAAGAAAAACAAGGTTTTCTGTGTATTTGCCGAGAGCGTACTCGGCTGTTCGTTGGTGGTACGGCGGGGCCGCAGAGACCGCAAATGAGCGGGTGACCCAAACGCAGCAAGAACCAGGTCAAACCAACGTTCCGTGCCGCGCGTAGACAGGCCCACCGGCCACAGACGCAATGGATCACGCAAGAGAAGCTGCCAGAGGGGGCCATGCAGGAAGGGGAGCCGCGAGAACTGCAAGACAGGTGTCATCTCACGGGGTAACACTAAATGGCCTTTCCCTTTAACGGGCTTTTACTGGAAACCGGCTCCCCCTAAACGACCGCGACACGCGGCCCCCCCCCCACACACACACACTTAAAGCTAGGCATCCGGACAAGAGCGGCGGCAGCGATCAAACTAGTTAACCAGGAAAAACTGGGAACGATGGCTCTCTCATACTTCCACACCCCCAAACGAAGGGGTAGATGCCGTCCGTCAAGACAGTCCCCACGCATAGCGATAGTTATGACTCATTGAGGAGGAAGGGAGAAAGGGAGAGGGAGGGTTTCCGTATTGCCGTGTTAGAGGCAATGTTTCAGGTTGCGCGGTCTGCACCTGCCATATGGCATTTTCAGGCGAACTGCATTGGTAAGGAGGTTCGTTTCGTCCATAATGCAACGCCGCAGCCCACCCTCCCAAACCCGGTCAAAGTCGGCTGCTCCCTCCGGTGGCATAGCAGCCACGTGTGTGTGACTCTGTGTCAACTGCGAGCTAGCTAGCTTCCCTCTAGTCGACGTATCGAGGAGCGTGGGTGAGGACGCGGGAGGGGAGGGCTTTGATGTGGGTGTTCCCGTATTCTGTACGATTTTACCACAATGTCACAGAGGAACTGCAAAGTAGTTCTCGTACGAGCGCACGTGATGTAAGCAGTTTTCCTTTGTGCGTAAGCATCCACATGTAATTTAGATACATTTCTTTCCGTACGGAACGCAAGAATCCGTACCTCTGTTTCTCGTTTTGTGTTTTTGCCTTAATATCGTTCTGCGGCTCTATATTGTACACGTACATTGAGGTTTATCAATGTACGTCAATGTACATCGAGGTTTATCAATCAACACCAATTGAGGTATTTAGCTGTCATCCGGCAAATGAAAGCACAAATCATGCAGTCTTAGGGATAGGCACACACACGCCGCGGGACGACACACTACCCGGGATCTGTTCGCCATCCCCGGTATGCCGTACCTGCAGGATAGCCGTACACCAGCAGCTCTGAAACCGCCAACCGAGAAGTGTTCACGGCAGGGTTAAAGTTCTGCACCGTCACGAACCGTCCGATCAACGGTGGGCTGACGGTGATGTCCAGAAAACCGCCGGTGACGCCGGAGCCGGGCATCTTATAAGCCAGGCTGTTGTACGTGATCTGGTTCACGTTAGGCACCTGCGCACCGCCGACACGGACCTCCGCCCGGCATGTCTCGTTGCCGCAGCAGTCCTCGCGCAAGGATAGGACGATGCGGCTGACGATGAAGGCCTCGCCGAGGTCGACGGACAGCCAGGGATTTACGTCGCCAAACCGACTGATGTACATGGACGTGTGATCCGCGACGCCATCCACGGCTCGGGAGGGTCCGTAGGCATCCTGTCCCATGTAAACGGAGGAGCTGAAGGCGGGCTTTCCGAATGCGACGTTGGTTGTCACAGAGGCAGGGGGCGGTGGCGGCGATGAAAAGGATGTCGTCGTTTCTGAGGGAAGCGCGCAAAGGCAGAGGAATAACACCATATGCATGAAGCTATGAATCACAAACCTCAACGCAATTATTGAATTAGTTGCGAGAAAGCCATGGTCAACTGTTTCACGAGGGTCAAAGAAGGGGTAAGTACAAGGGCAGGCGATGCGCGGATATGGTTCCAGAACCCATGAATATCCTTGTTGACTGAAGCATTCTTGTAAGGCATCGCGGTGCAGATAGTTAATGTGCAATCCTGCCAACAGCCTCGTTACAACCGGAGCGGAAATACACTTACGCAAGAAGCTTCGCCTAGCAGCATCAACATGGTAGATTTGTAGAATTGTCGTTAGGAGAGCTACAAGCAGCACCAGCTGCGGGTGCTGCCGAAGCGGCGACCATCGTCGCCCCATGGCCCTTCGCAGGACGTTGTAAGTAGTGAGCAGGGTATAGCTAAGCTATAAAAGCATTACCTTAACAGCTTAAAGTTGCGCTAACTATTTATATCATGCTTGTAGTCAAAAGGGTGTTGTACACCACACTTTTCAACTGCAGCAGTAATGTAGGTGTCGTCACCAAAATGAGCATGCATGCAAGCGAATGCCAACTTCTAAACGCATTCAAAAGCCCTAAGTCACATGAATCAGCCAGAAATAAGCGGAGTTTCGTTCGCTCCCACAATTCATCCTCATGCTACAGCCGGAGTTGATGGAAGAAACAGTTGCCACACTGTTCCTCGCCCTTAATACACGTCGTCCATAAGACACACCATAATATTATAATTTTTTTAAGTGACTCATTATAAGTGAACCCTCGATGCCCCCAACGAGGTCACTCTTAGGAATGCCAACTGCACGTACCGCACCTGAACGACGTACCGGGTACTGGGTACGCTGTGGAGTACAACTCTCACCTTCAATAAGTTAGGGCGGCCTCCAGGTGGGTGTTCTTTATGGGTAGCGATAGCGATAACACTAAGTCGCAGTGGGGCGCTGTATCGTCTGACGATGCCATGCTGATGACCTTTCCATGATCATTGACTAAGAAAAAGGAGGGGACCCATCAGCATCTAATCGCGATATGCTAATGAAATCATACAAAGTTCACACCTATATTTAAAAATGGCGCATAGCCCATCGTATTTGCACTTATCCCTTCGGATCCCAACGCTGCAGCCTGAATACCAGTACAGTTTTCACCCTTACGCCGCAAGTCCTTCCAGATTTCGTTAAAAGAAGTTCATACAAGCCGTACCAAAATCCCGCCTGTTTAGGATGAAAAAGCAGAACTTGCAGACGGCATCACGGACAGCGTCGGTGCTTAGTCTGTCTAATGTGAGGCCTGTCCACCGCGCATCCGAGGGAAGCGCTGCAATAATCACTTTTCTAGTCAAATATTTATCTCTTCACTATCAGCGTTCAATGCAGCGGTCCGTCTATCTGATTGCTGCCTGCGACATCACCAGGCAGGAATGACTCCACAGCAGGCATACGTCCCCGCAACCTAATAGTGCGCAACGCGAACGGCATTCATATAAACACAATACCGAATAGCGTGTGTAGTGTAGCGTAACTCGCTGCTTCCGTGTACTCAGCTGCGCCACAGTTACGGCGTTTTGGCCCCTGCACGGCACCTGTTCAGGAGGCCCCCGTTTCTATAACATAACAGCTGATTCGAGTCAACGGCAAGATACTGCTGCTCAGGGTACAATGCTGGCTTGCCCGATGACACCGGAAGAGGTGGCTGGCCAGCTTGCTTGACCAGGATCGATACCACTGCGTAGGGCGATCGCCTCCCTCTGCCGTCTGCCGCAACCCGGGAGTTCCTAGCTCGAGGCACGCCTTCGTGTACATCTTTCTTCTTCTTAGTGTTCTGCTTCTTTCATTCTGCGTCGCAAGGCGACGCTCATTTACCGACATACGCTCTAGAAGGTAACCCACGCATACCGCGGATACCCCAGCGGCCGCTAACCGGCGGACCGACATACAGACAGACCTTGGACAGGCCCCCACGGCGGCCACGGTTCGTTGCACCCGGAGGACTGCATGAACACGAACCTGTTACGTGAAATTACTGAAGCGCTTTCCACGCTGGACTCGGAAGGATAAACTGCATATGCCCATGTACGGCAGACACGGCATGGAGGGCTGCTGTACAAAGTCGCCTCCCCTGTCCAGCAAGGCCCCCCTCCCCCACTCCGCTCTTTCACCCTAAACCCCAAACCCAGGTCGCCCCTCGAGGTTTTTCTCACTTTTCTCCCTCCCTCCTCCTGGCCTCCGTCCCGCGAGAGAAAAGATTTGGGGACTATGAATAATAGGGGGTGCGAAGTCGCTTGGGAAAGGTGTAGCGCCGGCGATGCTGTCCCCAACCCCCAGATAAACCGAGACGCTGCAACCGAACACATCCACCACGTCCACACACACCGCCCCGCATGCGCGCACCAGCCATGCAGGTCCGCGACTACACCGACAGAGTTGCAAAAAGGGCCCTGAAATTCCGTCGCGGAATATCAAGGAAAGGACATCTGACATTCTTTACGTAGTGGAGTGCTAAAGTCAAGGGCCACCTCAAAGGACGTTTCTGGAGCTCTGCAATGTCAGACCAATCAGCCCAAAACCAACAGATTTCGAAAGAAGCTATACTCCTTTTTTTGGCACTAGGTTGCGACCCGGCGAGCTGTTCGCGTGCAGACTCTGTGCGGGTCACATCGTATCATCAATGCGCGGTTTCGTCATGATGTGCTCTCCATACAGATCGACGGAAAGAGAAAAACAGGCAAACAGACAAACAGGCTGACTGGCAAAAAGCACAACTCCTCTCGACCCCAAGCGGAGCCTTACGGAGGTCCGGATGCCCCGGCGGAGGGAGAGTTACCGGACAGGGGGGCGCCGCCCGGGGTAGCGTTGGCATTCGTGCTGTGTATGTGTCGGGACAGCGAAAGCACCGGCAAACGTGTGGCTGCAGTCGACCCCACGGCATGGCCTTGGCCGAACCCCGCGGCACCTCCGCCTCCACCACCCCCAACCCCACCCACAGCCTGCCCACCAACACCAGCAGCCGCGGCGGCAGTGCCGGCGGTAGCGCTGGTCCCAAATTGCTGCTGGGGCGGGGCTGGGGGCGGGGCTGGGGGCGGCTGGGGCGGGGGCGGGGCCGGTTGTTGGGCCGCCGCGTGTCCGGATTTTGAATTCCTCCGGATGGGGCTCTTCGGTCCATTGGAACGCCGCGACTGGGTTTGCTGCTGCTTCTGTTGCTGTTGTTGTTGCTGTTGCTGTTGTTGTTGTTGTTGCTGCTGTTGTTGTTGTTGTTGTTGCTGTTGCTGTTGTTGTTGTTGTTGCTGTTGTTGTTGTGGAAGGGTAGCCAGAAGGTAGCCGAGACCACCTGCCAGGTCGCTTGATGTCTTTCTGGACGCTAGGCCCGGCGGTTGCACGTGGGATACCTGGTGCTGCTGTTGCTGCTGCCGTACCAGCTGCGGTGCCGCTGCAGAACCGACGGTGGCGGCGGCCGCCGCCAGCGGCGCCAAGTGGACGGAATGATGGGCAACGGCACCCACGGCAGCGTTTGCAACAGTGCTAGGAGCTCGGCTACGCGCTACGGCTGAGGCGCCGCCGCCGCCCCGGCCCCCGCCGCCACCAGCGATAGCGGCAGTGCCACCGCTGGTGCTGCTAACGCCACCAGCAGCGGCAGGTCCTGCAGGAGATGCCGTTGAGGCCGCCGCAGCCGCCGCCCCTGCTGCGGGGGTCAAGCCGCCTCCAAGGCTGGTTTGACGTGTGCGTGGCGGCGAGCCGCCGCATCCACCGCCGGCCCCTGGTACCACTGTTCCCTGTACGGCAATGAAACGGGAGTGCTGCGCGAGTACGGCAACCGGGGAAGGCCTGTGCACCGGGGCGCGGGCAGAACGGATGCAGTGGGGGGGATGGTACGGAGCCTCAGAAGCTGTGGATAGGCCAGGCTGACGACGACGATGATAAACATATGTAAATATACAAATTCACAAATTCTGTATTATACAATTATGTATGTTAAAACATACTAATAGCATGATATTTAAATTATTGTTATTATTTGCGTGTAATTATATGCTCTATTTTATATCATGTAAATAAATAAATAAACAAGAAGTGCACAAAAATGCCACATATGTCCATCTTGGGCAGGTTTGGCGCCAGGTAATCATGATGAGTGGATTCTCCAGAGGTAACTTGGACTGACAGCTAAATTCCGAAGATCGAGAGATCTGATTCAACAAAACTATGCCGCGGGGGCTTATCGTGGGGGAAACCGGGTGTACGGCTGAAACTGAAACTGCACGACACGTAGGAGCTGTTGGTGGGAACGCACACGCGCGTAACGATGGTCAATGTCGTCCTCACAGCGCATGAGGAGGAGTGCACTCCTCGAGAACACACTGCAATCTTGCAAGTCCTTCCTTTTCTCTTCGTGCAATCCTCTTTGCTCAAGAGCTCTTTTTGACTTTCGACTCTAAATTTTGCTCTCCTTTGAGGAGCTAGGTGGCTAGCTAGCAGGTCTAGGGGGTCTTGGGCTCATCGGGAAGCCCGCCTAGTCTGGTTGGGTCGGATTGGGACATTTCCGGTCGACCATACCGATAGCATCATCATGGCAACCAACACCATCATGCATGGCCGTCATCATCACTTTCATTATCCTCATCACGGTGCTTTAGAACGCGCCTACCCGAAAGCTCCGCCCCCACCGCCGCCGCCGCCGCCGCCGCCGCTGCCGTTGCTGCCGACTCGGGGATGCTTGCCTCCCCCGCCGCCGCCGCCGCCGCCGCCGCCGCCGCCGCCGCCGCCGCCACCACCACCACCGCTACCGGATGTTAAGGATGGCGCTCGCGGCAAGCCGCCGCCGCCGCCGCCGCCGCCGCCTGCGGCTGTTAATGACGGCGCTCGAACCAAGACGCCTCCAGCACCGATACCGCCCGGGCTCGCCAAACAGCCGACCTGCGCACCCGGCGGGGTTGTTGTTGTTGTGGTGGTGGTGGTGATGGTGATGGTGGTGGTGGTTGATGGTGCTATACATATACCAGGGGACCTCCAAGGACACAAGGATAGCGGTGGCAACAACAGGGGTTGCTCCAAAAAAAGGGTCCCAAGTACGGCAGGTCACGGAGAAGGAAAAGAAGAAGAAAATGTCCTACAACACCGGGGGCGGCGGGCCATCATCCGTACGTACCTCTCCGTACGGCCCCGAAGAGGAGGACGCCTGGGTGCCGCCGGAGTTAGCCGCGCCTGGTGAGCTGGAGCTCGCACTCAAGGCGGCATAGGGCGGCTGCACGGACATGACGCTCAGCGATGGCACGCGTCGCGGCAATGGCTGCTGCTGGTTCACAGGGGGGATGGCAGCCGATTGCAGCGGCTGTTGCAGCTGCTGCTGCTGCTGCTGGTTCTGGTGCTGTAGCTGGGACGGTTGCGGGGAGGGGTAATGCTGCGATTGGTGCTGGTGCTGATGCTGGTGGTGATGGAGAGCCGGCGCACCGGTGCCAGTCGAGGCTGTAGCACGCAGCGGCACAAGGCCCACCAGCATTAGTGCGTCGCCCGCCGCCGCCACCGTTGATCCAGCTGGCAAGGAGGTTGCCGTATGGACTTGCGACGTGTGAGTGTACGAATGTGAATGCGGGTGCTGATATGGGTTTTGTTGACCGTGCGATGGTGATGGCGACTGGCCGGCGGAAGAGCTTCCTAGCAGCTGGTGCGCCACGAGATAGGGGGAACCGGATGAACAAGATGCAGCCAGCGGCGGCGGCGCTGCCGCCGGCGAGCCATGCGACCCGTGGGTCAATTGAAACGGTGCTGCTGTAGCACCCACAAGCGTCTTCTGAGACGTTTGCGGAGACGAAGACCCGAAGCCAGTGGCGTTTGGCACGTGCAACGGGGCTAGAGGTGGTTGCGTCAGGGGAGCCAGCTGCGGCTGCGCTGCCGCTGCCGCTATCGCCGCCGCCGCCGCAGCGAACTCGCCGCTGTATGAGCAGCGCAGGGGGGCCTGGGAGACAGAGGTCGACCGCGAGTGGGAGTGCGAATGGGAGGGTGACGTCAGCGGTGATAAGGACGGCGCGCCGCCAAGGATCAGCGGCGCCACCGGCGGTACCGACGGCCGCTGCTGCAGCAGTGCGCCACGCGGCAGCGGCGGCGGCGCCAGCGCGGAGTCCAGCGGCAGCAGATCTCGCGGCAACACCGGCGGCGGCCCCGGCGGCGGTGTGCGACCGCCACCGCCACTTGCCGCTGTCGTACTGTCCGCGGCAAGCTTGGCATTATCCGATGGCGACTCTGGCGGGCTGGCGGTGCCGCCGCCGCCGGCGAGATGGTACATCTCCCCATCGCTGACGTACGACTCGCAGTCTAGAATGCTGTCGGCGCCGCCGCTGTAGAAGGACGCCGGCCCGTGGGCACCACCGCCGCCGCCGCCGCCGCCGACACCGCTGCGTGCTGCTGCTCCCGCCGCCGCCACCTCTTCAAAACAGCCGTGCTCGCCGCCGCCAGCCCAATTGAAATTATCCTCCTCCTCCTCCTCCTCCTCCTCCTCCTCTTCCCCGTACATTCCGGGACTGCGCCCCAACCCCAAGGCCAGGTCGCTACACCCGACTGGAACCTCTCCGCTGACCGCCTCCTCCTCACCGGAGCTGAAGGTGATGATCTCGAACTCGCCGCCGCCGCCGCCAGCGCCACGGAAAGCCGACGAGGCGCGTACACCGCCGCCGCCGTCGTCGGGCTGGTTCCGCCGCTCCGTCTCCAGGCGGCTCAGGAACGGCGCCAGCAGCGGCGCCAGCCGCGTCCATAGCTCCGGCAGCAGCTGCGTGTCCACCCCGGGATGGTGACGAGGCGTGGTGGAGGGGTGTGTGGTGGAGGGGTGGGTGGTGGAGGGGTGGGTGGTGGAGGGGTGGGTGGTGGAGGGGTGGGTGGTGGAGGGGTGGGTGGTGGAGGGGTGGGTGGTGGAGGGGTGGGTGGTGGAGGGGTGGGTGGTGGAGGGGTGGGTGGTGGAGGGGTGGGTGGTGGAGGGCCGACCGCGCATAGACGCTTCTAAGGGGTGGTCCGTATCTCCCTAGTCCCAATCCGCGCTGCCTGTTGTCGTAATTCATAATCACTACTACACGCAGGTTTGAGTGGAGGAGGGGAAGCGAGGGACGAGCGCCTGCCGACCAACCCACAGAGGAGAGTTCCTAAGCGGCCTGGTGGTGATTGAAAGCGCTTACCGTCTCGGCAATGTCGTACAGTACGGCGCTCTTGGGTTCCACAGGCGGCAGGCCGATAGCAACCGCCTTCTCGTCACGCGGCCGCTCTCGCCGCCGCCGCAGGTGGGCCGGCACGTGCGCCTCCCACTCGTCGTGCTGTACGACAAAGGTCTCTTCGAACGTGCCGTCCGACGCCAGTACCTCCTCCTGCGTGCCCTACGGCGCCGCCGTCGCCGCCGCCGCCGCGAGCGTTACACCAACGGGGACGCGGGAAATTTAGGTCACATACCGGGTTTCAGGTCACATGCTGAAACCCGGGTGCCGCACACAGCGCGCAACACCACACGACGCCGCGCCGTGAAGCTGCATATCTCTACATATATACATATATATAATGCTATATATATCGCGTTATATATGTGTATATACGTGTATATATGTATATATATGTGTATATATGTATATACAGCATTCCATACATGTAGATATACATATAGCAGTGGCAATACCACAGCACGTGCGCCCTCCCTACCCCCCCCCGATCTGGTTCCCCAGTCTTCCTTTCCTCTCTACCTTCACCCTCCCATCACAGCCCTTGCAGACACGGCACAACGATGTGCGGGTTCGGTAGCTCGCCCCCTCCCCCCGACTGGTGCGACTTACGGACAGTCCCGCAGGCGGAGGCGTCAACCGAATCTTGCTGCCAAATACGGCAAGTTCTCCGCTCGCAGTTGTCGCTGCCGCCGCCGTTACCGCGCGGCTGCCGCCCTTGGCGGCGGCGGCGGCGGCGCCGCCGCTGCTGCTGCTGACGCCAGCCGCTGCAGGCCTGTGCTCACCGCCTGGACTCCCGGTTGACAGCGGCGGCGGCGACGGCGGCGGCGTGTGCATGTGCGCGTATGGGTGCGAGTGCGGTGCGGGCTCGGTTGCCGGAACCTGGCGGCAAAAGGTCACACATGGGATTGGGGACGGGGCATGTGTTGTATCCCGTAGGGCGTATTACCACGGTATCTGCATCGGCCGATCGGTATATAAAATATAAAGTCGTAATATAGCAGCATGTAGGGTGGTGCATCCACGTTGCATGAAGCAGGGCGTTCGTACACTGGCTGTCCAGAACCTTTTGAAATCCGCCATTTACGTGAGCTGCAGTGCAGGCCCTACCCTGGAAGACGGCGGGGCTGGTCCCTGTTAACAGCACCGGCTCGCTTTGTTGTTGTTCTTGTTGTTGGAAGACTATTCTCTACTTCTTGCTAGTTGGTGGTGGCAGTAGTGCATGTGGTACGACTCACGGTGGGGTCAACGCCAGCCCGCACCACCGCTGGTTAAGGGGTTCAGCTCGGGCTCTCGTTTTCGCAACCTCTCCCTCTTCCCCTCTCTTTCTCCCACTCCCTCCATCTCTCGCCCTCTCTCGCTCCCGCTCCCCCTCTTCCCCCCTCTCTCTGTCCCGCCCCGTCCTTCTACACCCGCAGCGAGGTCCCCCACCTGGCGGCCCCGCAGCCACAAGTGCGGCTTGAACACGGCCCACTCGGCGCTCTGAACCTCCACAGGGCGGAAGAATTGGCGGTCCTCGGGGATGCGGCTCGCATAGGCCTGATCAGGCAACAACCACCATCCAGGCAGCAACAACATCCGGTATAAGTTGGGTTGGGCATGTGGGCAGGCAAGAGGGGCAAGAGGGAGCTATATTGCAGCAATATATATCAAGAACAAAACTGCAAACTGCGAACTTCTGGAAGCTGCGAATTTGCTGGAGGTGCAGGAGGGCAACGATTGCAGTTTGGCAAAGGAAAGCAGGTTGCATGGTCACGGGGCAGGAAAGGCTTTGGATCAACGCTGTTCAGTTCGGTCATGCAGTGATGAGAGCGCAATCAAGTGCAATGCTGTGACAGCGTGGTGCTGTGCAGTGAGGAACATCCGCTTCTGCTTTAACGACGAACGCATAAACGCATATCGGATTTCGATGATGATCCCGGATTCAATCAGTTGTTGGTTGGTAGTTTTAATAGGACTGTGTGAGTACACAGGGCCTGCTTCCCGCACACGCACTTCCCTCACAAAAGTCTCTCTTCTCCTCCACGATTATCGCTGGTGCCGTACATGCCCGGCTATGTGCACACGTCCGCACAAGCAGTGCCTGTGTGTCGTACCGCCCTCCCTCAGTCCCCCGCCAGCTGGCACACAGCCCTACCTGCTCTCTCCTCGTCCGCCTCTGGCCGCGGCCCCCAGCGCCCTTAAACCTGTTTAGGCAGGGGATTTGCGTGCGGATTGGGATGAAACAGCGGGGTCGGACCTTGGGGTGCGGCGCAGCGTGCTGGGCCCGTGGCATAAGGCCCTCGCGGAAGTGCCGCGGCTGTTACCACACCAGCAAATGAAGGTCCTGGCGCATCCATGCCATGATTAAATTTGCCCTCATCATGTTTAGCAGGATTAGAGACCGCAAACAAGTTGATGGGCTCCGCAATGTGATGGGCTCCCCCGCCCCGACACAAGGTGGTGCAGCGGGTGGTCGCTACGTGGGTGCCGAGGTGGCAACACGCCGGGAAATGTGGGCCTAAGCGATGGCGGGGCTGTCCAACGCTGTTAACCCAATCGAATGGCGTCAAAATCGCATCAAACCGGCCACGCTCCAGCGGGCAGACCCCGAGACTAGCATCTGCGCGAGGCTTCACACAGCCAATCGCCCAAACCGCTCCTCACCCTGCATCCGCTTGTGGTCCCCCGGCCGCCTGCGCAGCTGCCCTGTTATGGTACTCGAACACGCCCTCGTCGAAAGCGTCCAGCGCAGCGCGAAGCTGTGATGTGGCTTGAGCATCCACATCTTCCACGCCCTAGCGTAATGAACAATGCGAGGATCAACTAGACTGTACCAGTAGAAACGCCTGGGCATAGCATGGACCGGCCAAGCCCACCGGAAAGAGTTCGTCACAGGCAGAGTTTACGGTTAAATCCGTATATGCTATGACCGATCGAAACATGACTTCCAGAGCAGTGCTGTTGCTTCTTAGCACAAGAGTAAATGCCTATTCATGAGCTTCCCACATTCTTAACAACTCCTTGAGTCGTGTACTGTCAAAGAGGTTTCGGTTAATAGCACGTCATAGTTAGAAGGAAAAACAGCAGATAACTGCAGCAAAGACTCCGGAACGCCTGTCTACGTCGAGGCTACTGTATCCCAGCTTCAAGCGGCTTACACGAGCCAAATCTCCTACATGTATTCGCTGTCTTAGAGGATCGTCGCTGAACAGGGCAATGGAGGCGCAGAGTGCGTTACTGCGGTAAATTGTCAGTCGAGGCCCAACAGCACCATCCGCAACGGTAACCCTACCGTACACGGGATGGTTAAGGCGTAAGCGAAGGCATCAGGGGAATTTCCCACGGCTTGGAATCTGCATCTGTGGACTTGCAGCTTAAGGTCCCACGGGATACGTGTAAGCACAGTAGCAGTGCGTTTTGCTGCCGCTAGAATGTGCTCCTTATGCACATAGAAGCTGGCGTTGCGAAAGCTCTGCATGGCCCTCGCAAGACAATCGCATCTTTGCATAGTTACATATGGCGAGAGGAGAGCTAAGGCCGCACTTGTGCTAGGGTAGGGAGCTTCACCCTACTCCATGCTTTGCATAGCCCCGCACGAAAACCATCCGAAATGCCATCCACACATGGCTTGAGGACACATGCATGTTCATCAATTCACCCATGACCACATAGCCAGCCAGAAGTGCAGCGCACGTGCCCAGCGCCCCAAGGTTTCGCTAGGGAACGCGCTGCCCTGACCGCTTCAATGGAACCCCGCGGGCACAGTCTTTATTCTCCTCACGACGGTGTGTGACGGCATTTAAAAAGAAAGATGCAGCCTCTTGACTACAAGGCCTTGAAACCTGAACACAGTGCAGTGCACCCCGTCGTTGCTTCGGAAAGCATGGCCCGGATAGATCTGTCCGCCGAGCGCTGTCGGGTACCGAACACGGGCCTATCTGTAGCTTCATTCGCTCCCAAGATTGCCTGCCTTCCATTCCCCTGCACTCTTCACAAAACCCAAGACAACAAAGGGACTCATCCAGGCGTTACCCGTTAGCCCATTTTCCGCGTGTGTTGGCCAACAGCCGGAATCCCGCAGTGAACAAAACAACGATGAACCCCACGGAATGCAGGGCAATGCAGACAGTGGTGCAAATCCTAGGAAACCGTTTGCGTGCGTCCTCCCACGGCCCCGTGGGGCCGGACAAGTCACGATCTCTTCCACAAAGCTCTCTTCCACACGCTTACACGAACCCTGAAGAGTGATGTGCATTCCGCATTCCGCAAGACTCAGCGACCTGCTAAGACTGTAACCCATCCCAGGGGCGGTCAAGAATATTGAACCCTAGGATTGATGGCCAAAGCGTTGGAGCCTGATGCGCCGCATCGCCTCCTGTGGATCATCCTCATCTACGGTCGCCGTGACAGGACAATCAGCAGACGGTGTCAGGGCAGAGGATGCCGACGCATCATCGCCTGACGCTTCCGAGGCGGCCGCCGTCGCCGAAGCGCTGCACGGCAACGCATCCCCGGAAGTTGTCACCGAGTGCTGATCCTGCGCAATCCTCGTGGAAACGTCAGGCGCAGCTGCAGTCGCAGCACCAGCCTCAGCTGCCGCCACCGCCGCACTGCCATTGTGAGCTGCCGATACCTCAATGGTAGCCTCCGCTGCCGGTTGGGCATCCACCGCTGGAACTGCTGCTGCGATGGCGGCTGCCTCGGCCGCCGTAGAGGCAGGTTCCACGTCTGCAGCGCTCCCTCTGTTGCCCGCTGATGTACTGGGGCCCTCCTCAGCAGTTGCTGCTGCCGCGGCTGGTTGCACGGCTGGCTGCGGATGTGGCTGCAACGGTTGCGGCACAAAGAGCATACCGCCACCGTTGGGAAGCAGGCCCGAGCCAAACATAGCCGCTGCCGCTGCCGACGCCGCCGCTGCAGCAGCTGCCGCCGCAATCTGATGGTGATGCAGCGGGACCTGCACAGTTGCTACAGCGGGTCCAATAACCGCTGCTGCTGAGTTTGAAATGGTGGCCGTGGTGGTGCCCATCGGCATTCCGAAAGGCACTACAGGCATCATCATAGGCGGCATGATCCCGAAGGGAGGAACCCCAGGGAAAGCACCAGGTGCCAATGGCACGTGCACAGGTTGCTGCCATGGCAGCGGGAGCCCGTTGTTGCTAGGACTCGAGCCCGCGGCGGCTGCACCGGCGACCCCCGGCGGCTGGACCATGAACGGCAAGTGCTGCGATGGGCCTGCTGCCGCAGCAGATCCCGTTTCCAATTCTACGCTGCCCTCTGGCCGTACGATGGCCGCTAGCATCGCCTCAATTTGATGTATGCGTGCCCGGATTTGCTGGACTTCTGCAAACGCAGCCGCGACCCACTGGTCAGCCAGCAGCTTACTGACCCCTGTACTCCGCTGCTGTGCCTGCTGCTGGCGTTTGGCAATGAGGCGCTGCACCAGGCGCTGATGCTCCGCGCGGAGGCCCTGTATGCCACGCCGCCGCCGAGATTTGGGGGAAGTCATATGAAGGACGCTAATAGTATCAGTTGCATATAGAGCCGCGTGGGAAACATCGTAGCTTCAGCGCATACACGACAAAAGCAGCATTGGCGCCAATAGCAGTGGTTGCGACATGGGAATGAAACAGCGATCCTAAACGCCTGACCTAGCTATAAGCCACTGTCGCGAACTTATATAGCGGAAGAACGTCAATCACTTGGCACGGCCTTCTTACAGTCATCTTCTCTATCACGCACCTCCAAAGTGGTCTGGAGTAAACCTTCTGCAGTGGCCGTGGCTGTACCCGCGCCAGGCGTGCTACTGCCCGCCCCCAAGCCCGTCCCTTGCGTCGCCGCCGCTTGCGCAGTTGCTGCCACACCAGCGGCCGGCCCTGGAGCAGATGGGCCTGGACAACTGCCTGGCGCGGCCGGAGGTGCTGCTGTTGACGCAGCTCCTGGCACCGGGGCTGCTGACGACGATGCACGAGCAGCTGTAGCTGGACCTGCCACAGCCCCGGCTTCTGCTGCAGGAGCGATCTGTGATGAGGTCCTGGAGGGGCCAGAAGAGGGTGCCTCCGCTCCCAGAGCTGCTGCAGCCGCAATGCCCTCGCCAGTGCCCGCCACGGCTGTGTTACCAACCCGCCGGTGGCGCAGTGACGCGGTCGCTGCTGCTGCATGCGGCTCGACAGGGGGCCTCAGAACGGCTCCGTCGTTGTCAGCTGCAGCGTGGGGCGGGTGGCGTTGCGCCGCGTCCTCGCCGTCTGCGACTGCCACCGGCGCAGCCTGCTCGGCACCGGGCGCCGCAGCAGCGGGTTGCGCCTGCTGCTGGCCAGCTGGGGGCCGGCGGAAAACGGACGCGCGGCAGGTCGGGCAGTTCTGCTGCCGTTCCAGCCAGGACCTGCAATGCATAGGAGGAGTTCCAAGCACCAAGCGGATGGCAGGTCCACAATGAAGATAGCACCAAAGCCTGCGCACTACTGAATAGATGCAAACATAGGCAGTCAAATGGGAAAAGAATCTTCGAGTACGACCTACCGCACCTGAGGCAATGCAGATGGAACACATGGCCACAGAACAGACGCTTGTTTGAACCGGCCTGGGCCATCTCCTCCCTGCAGCGTCCCGCAGGGCATACAGCAGAGCTCAGGGAAGCAATAGGGAACATGATTCGGATCAAGGGTATAGGCAGCAACGCGTCGTGCCTTGCATGGTCCCAAAGCTCGTTTGTAACCCACACTAATACTGAGATGCTACTCTACCCCACATGCGCAGGGGCTAGATCAAATAGCAGATGACTAGTCGGCCAAGTTGTCTGCAAGTCCTAGACATCATTTGACCTGACAGACAATTGCTCCAACCAGCTTGTACACCCCGTTTTCCCAAACCTGCAAATGATGCAAACGCCATCGCAGCGACGAAGGTCATCCGCCGACGCGTCCGGGAAGCGGTCAAGGCGAGCGGTCACCTGTCACAATGCCAATTGATACCACGGGTGACACACCACACGCCTCAGTTCCTTTCCTAACTTAAAACTGTTTGCCGCGCCCGACACGCCAACGGTGGACCATGCCCTTCCCCCTGCCTGACACCGAAAAGCATTGTCCATCATCACATAGTTAACAAAAAGCGAACGAGGACACATTACACAGGTAAGGCAATTCCCATTCCTGTGTAACTTGGCCAGCTGAGGGATGTCCATACAGAATAGCACGGGCCGACTTGTAATTTACCGACCTGTCTGAATCGCAGGAAGTCGTGCATGCGAGATCGGAAGTTGCGGAAGGTGCTGTAGAGGTCACGGACCTGCGCGCACAAGAATCAGGGCAGCAGTTAGCACAAGACGTGTAGGACGTGGCTCGCGTGTCAAATGGTAATAGACAACAACCTTTACGCTCTGACGGACACACGCTATGCGCTCTAATCTTTCAACTATGCGGCACCACCCTAAGCCCACCGCCGGTGCATCAGCCGTGCCCTATCTGGGTCCCATGGACCTGCCTTCCGTCCGCTCAGCAGTGCAGCTTGACAGTGACCTTTCATTCAGCAGCACCACCCTTCCTTACCAAGTGCAGCGGCAGGCCGTAGTGCATGAACACAATGGCGAAGAACGTAGCGTAGACAAACAGGTGCAGCAGGTCGGCAATGAGCTCCAGGTAGAAGACAGCCGTGCCCTTGCCCTGGGAATCGGAAGAGCCACCGAGGGAAAGTAGTCAATGCACAGAAATAAATGCAGACTGGACCGAACTCTGACCGGAAACTATGGATGCTATCATATGCATTACAACGCCCTCAACCGGAGTTCCGCTCTGTAGCGCAATTCCGCGACAGAAGACAACGAACAGGTGCTAGGAATCTGGACAACCATGATGGCCCACATCGCGCGGCCGCCTGCAAACCCACGCTTTGACACCACAGAGTCGCAAATGACACCGCTTCCCCAAAGCACATACCGTCCAGTTGCCGTCCATAGCCAGGTCAACCATACTCATGCCGTACTTGAGTGCGTACCGAACAATGGTCGATGCCTGGTGGACCAAACGCGAGAATGCTTCCGCTCAACCATTTATCAATTGTGGCTTGCGGTAAAGGATAGGAACGCATTGAGCCACACAGGTCAAGCACACTGGATCGCTATCTGCACGTTCCTTGGATTTAGACCACGCCAGCTGTCCCAGCTGTTGAAGAAGAGAGGCCGCAGCAGAGTAACTCACCAGGATGACGTACTCGAAAGCAAAAAGCAGCATTACGGATTGACCACTCGACTGGATGGTCCCAGCAATCGTGTACTGAAGGAACGCCGTGTCCAAAGCCTGTAACAAAAGGGACATGGTGGCTCGACTGTTAGTTCAGTGGAACGCTATGAACACAAGTCGAACGTTTGCAGGCCATGGTTAGCCTTCTAAAGGCAAGTGACAGAATTGCATAAGCAATCAGTAGGCTAGCCTGCATCACAATTACCCTGGTGTAATCTTAGGGTTGGTATCCCTGGGCCCTAGGGACGGCCGTCACGGCCCGGCCGGTGCGTCACGGCCTGGCGTCGCCAATTCCGGAAGTTCACCATTTCCGCGGTGGCTTCGCATTCGGGCCGCCCTCTAACCATCGCACCAGCGACCACATACACACGCTGTGCCCGCGTGTCTTGACCCACCAGAAGCAGCGCCATGAATGACACGATCCTCAGATGCCCAAACAGTGAAATGGTTGGGGTCACCTCCACATAATCCACTCGGTCCTGCATCACAGGACGCAATACACGTTTTTATCCAAGCAACCGAATGGGGAAAGAAACGCGGGATAAAAGAGTTGTTAGACAGGCAATGGATCAACACCAGGAGTCCCGGTCCAGACATTACATCACGGCATGTCGGGGTAAAGCATCCGACGTGGCTTGGAGGGAAGTATGGACCGGGTGCAATACCCTACCTGCACAAGCCAATGCATTACTTTGATGAACACCAGGCTTGCAAACATGGCTACAAAGAACGTTGAAAACTCCTCTCGAAAAATTGTCAACGCCAGCAGTGACTCCATAACAGCGCTACTCAGGCGTTCGCGGATCATCTCCTGCTCGATATCACGCAAGCTCCCGAGAAACATCTGCAACGAATTACGAGTACTGTTATTGTACGAATGCGCTTGCTCAGACCTTAAGAAAGCCACACCAGGGCCCGAACGTCAAGTAACACGTTTGCAGCAAAAGCCTTGTCCCTATACCAACCAAACTACGCAGTTGCAAACCCCTCAAGACAGCCACTTGTCATCGACTAGCACATCCACATGTGAAAAGCGTTGAAAGTGCCAAGCTTCTGGGGTGATCACCTTAATAACCAGCTGGTGCGTACATAACGCCAGCGCAAATGCGAGATTTCCCATAGCTGCCACAGCGATTTTCGAAGATGACAAATACATCGCTGCCCTGTAAAAGCTGCGAGGCGAAGGCAGGACGGGACGCCCTTACGTGTAAGCATTCTCGTCCACACAGGAGAAGAAAGGATAAACCAAAAATACACAAAGGGCAGCAATAATCGAAGGCCTATTGCGGCTCGGCTACTCACTGCTGGCGTGTTGCGAAGGCATGATATACAACTGCAGAGGCAGCTAAAATGCTTAGCCCTACATAACGGGCAAGGGTGAAGCCCATGGCAAAGAAAATAAAGCGACCTTGGACTGGACAAAACTTTCGGATATGTTTGGCTGCACTACGGTATGACAGAAGTTGCAGGTCTATAACAAAGGTCAGTCACTAGTATTACATGTTCCCACGCATCTTTCAGGAGTACGGGCACTAAAGGCAAAATCCCAATATGTGTTCAGCCGCTCGCCCAGGGTTTTCGAGTCTTCTCCATCGCTGTACGGTCCGGACGGGGAGACGGTTTGGGAGCGTGAAACCTTGTGAGATGGTTCCACATACAATATTCTGTCACTTTGTGTTTCTAGGAATCTTAGGTCCTACTGGTTAGGTTCAATATAATTTGTTTGGGCCAAGGGTCGATCGGGTTGAACACGCTTCTGCATTTCTGGACGAAGGGCCGCATTTCTAATAATTACTCTAGGAGTTTGCAGCCTAGGTAGCAAATATGGCCAACGCCGTTGAGAAAAGCTGCACCATGTTGGTGTACAATGACAAGCAGGCCTCTGCTACTGAAATCAAGGAGGCACTGGAAGGCAACGATCCGCTTGCCAAGCAAGCGGCCATGAAAAAGGCTGTGTCTTTGCTGCTGGCTGGGGAGCAGCTGCCGCAGCTGTTTATCACCATCGTGCGCTATGTGCTTCCTTCGGAGGACCATACCGTCCAAAAGCTGTTGCTGCTCTACCTGGTGCGGATTTATTTCAGGAACTTACTTGACAAAGTCACAGCCTCTGGTATCTTTCGGGCGGCAGCAACTGCTGATCCAGCGAACGGACTGCCCGGAGCGGTGGCTTTCTCCGCCTTAGCCCGCAACTAATAAGTCTTGATGTATAGGAGCTTAGTATTACTCTTTTACGATGTCTGTCCTAGCTTGTTGAGCGGGACAGCATGTAACCGTGCTCCGCATGACTCAAGCTCTTTAATTTTAACGTTCGTCATGGGGGTCCCCCGGTCCCTTAGGAAGCTATCGAGAAGACGGATGCCACCGGAAAGCTGCTGCCGGAAATGGTGAGCGCCATGGCTGGTGCACCCATATTGCGCTCGGGGGTTCGTCATACGTGGACGGGTCCTTACTGGGACGGGTGCGCGGAGACATCCGTCTCCGTCAGGGCACAAGACGTAGCCTTAGCATACATGCCGCTCGATAGCGCTATGGTCTTCGGTGCCCTTGTACGCCAACCCTTTGGGAACCCCATGCGCGTCGTACCCATGCTAGTTCTGATCCATGCCCGATTGACTCCCATGCCCGACCCATCCACAGATTTTAATTTGCCAGAATCTACGGAACAACCTGCAGCACCCGAATGAGTACATAAGGGGCGTTACTCTCAGGTAGGGTAGACGGTAACTGTGCTTCGACCCCATTTGACATGGTGGAATGGATTGCTAGATGATTTGCAATATTGTCAATTCAGCTGTGGAGAGCGCTGAATGTTCTATCCAGTCAGCTGGGGCCACTAACTGCACTCGCCATGCTTACTAGTACGTTGTACGAAAAGTGGGTTGTTTTCACCTGTTGCGGCAGGTTCCTTTGCCGCATCAAGGAGGAGGAGATTCTAGAACCGCTAGTCCCATCAATTTTGGCGAACCTTGAGCATCGCCACTCTTACGTCCGCCGTAACGCCGTCCTGGCGATTAACTCCATATACAAGCTCCCCAAGGTACGTTGCTCCGTTGGGTATGGCCCCGCTGTCGTCCGCGGTCTCAAAGATTTCGTGCGGATGTGTCGGATTGCGATTGAAGCGCATGATTTGATTCTTCCTAGATTCTTTTTACGTTCTGTTTTGCCCTACGACAGGGTGAGCTGTTGCTGGCGGACGCCCCGGAGATGATTGAGCGGATCTTGCGACAAGAGCAGGTGCGGAGTATCTTGGGATATGTTGGGATCATGGCGCATGGTGGGTTAGGGAGAAGGTATGGGGTTAAGTTGGGAATGTTGTCGGGGCGAGCTCGCCTCCGCCCAGGATAGCACAGTCTGCCAATAAGCGTTTAACGGGCATGCATTCATCATCCATAAGCATGCGGTCCGCATGGCAATTATGGGGTTCTTGCCTGCAGCTTATATCCTCCAGTATTGCCTTTACGGTCCTGCAGAGATTGTTGACGCTGCGGCTGCACGCAAAGCCGTACACAATCTGCTGCACGCTTCGCGTATCCATCAAGAGGTTTTTAGCCCTAATGATTTTCCTCACATGCCATCCCACCTGGGCACTTGCAGGACCTTTCAACCCGCCGCAACTGCCTGGCTATGTTGACCAACAATGCTGTGGACCGGGCCATCCGCTACCTTCTGGATTCAGTGGACCAGCTGGCAACCTGGGGAGACCTGCTGCAGCTGTCAGCACTGGATCTCATTCGCAAGGTGTGTTTATAGTGCTCTGCTTTGGGGCTGAAAGACGTATGTTGGTTCAGAGTCCATGAATGCTTGGGCAGGGCACGAGAGCCTGAATGCTCCGAAACGGGTGTGGTGAGCAAGCAGCGTTGATGGGGTTTTGTTAGGGTACACCCGGGGGAAAGTGATAGGCCCCATTCCTTATGAGTGATATATAGGAAAGAGTCCTGTGCCTCGGAAACGAGCACTGGATGAGAGCCCTTCGGGTGAATGTCTTAATGCCTGGATTTGCCATGGCTGCACTTGCGGGCACTGAGGCGATACGTGAGGGCTGCGGCGACGGACATTTCTCTCGATAATCGTGGCCATTGTATTTACATCCGATATCTGCACGTACGGGGAGAATCTGCGTCTGCGCTTGACTTGCATTTATGCCGTACAAATGAACCCGCTCACCCGCAGGCCTGCCGCAGCAACCCCGGCGAGAAGGGCAAGTTCATTAAGACCATCCTACTGCTGCTACAGTCGCCATCGCCCGCCGTCATGTATGAGTGTGCCGTGACGCTGACCAGCCTGTCCTCGGCACCTTCAGCCGTGCGCGCCGCCGCCAACTGCTTCTGCAGCCTTCTGTCCTCCCACAGCGACAACAACGTTAAGCTCATTGTGCTCGACCGGTTGCAGGAACTGAAGGAGAAGCACCGGGAGGTAGGAGGGGTTGGGGGGCCTTGGGAGGTGAGAGGGGTTGAGAACTTTGCTGCCAAGGCCAAGGCGGTATCGTTAAGCATACTGGCTATGGAATGCAGGAGTAAGCCGGTCAAATTGACCGGTCTCATTATGACTTCGTCAACTCGCCCGTTGCGGGTCCGCCGTTGTGTGGGACACCTTTCCCGTCCCGCAGGTGATGACGGATATGGTCATGGACACCCTGCGCGCGCTGGCGTCTCCCTCTCTAGACATCCGCAAGAAGACGCTGGACATCTCCCTGGAGCTTATCACCTCCCGCAACATTGACGAGGTAGGGCTGGGCTTATGTAGGATGAGTCCTGCACCTGCTTGCATGACGTTCTTCGCCGAGGGCTGGGTCAGGGAAGGTGCATGTTGATGGTTACTTTAAGCACAGATCACTTCATAGTGCATACGAATGGATTACTAGTTGGCAAAACAGGAGGACTACGGTCTCTGATTAATATGATTCGCTTGTCAGCTGACAGCCGCCGGCCCTCTGCGTCTGTCATCCAGGTGGTTTCGGTGTTAAAGAAGGAGGTCGTGAAGACCCAGAACAAGGAGTACGACAAGGCAGGCGAGTACCGCCAGATGCTGGTGCAGGTGAGGGCGGCAACGTGGGTTTGGGCAAAGGATGGAATCAATGGCGTGGACTGGCTCGGTGTTAAAGAGTCACCTCTGTCCAGCCATAACAGCACGGTGGGCTCCACGCTTAGGAGGGGACCCATAGCGTTTCCTATGGGTAGGAGGCCATGGTGCAACGGTGTACTAACGTCGGCGATGTTGAGCAGGGCTTGTGAGCAGCTGCCCCACTCTTTGTTAGTTTTATGTTGGATTGCTGTAAATGGCAGGATTGTTTACATAGGCTGCGTTGGTGATGTTGCTTGGCAGCGTTGCAAGCAGCGTTGCAAACGTCAAAACCCTAGCAAGTCGTGGATGGCATCTTCCTCCTAGCAACCAATTCCCCTGGTGCAACCCTGCGCAAACTTCTCGTTCCCCTCCCTACCCGTCAGGCCATTCACTCATGCGCCGTCAAGTTCCCCGAGGTGGCGGGTAACGTGGTGCACGTGCTCATGGACTTCCTGGGCGATGCCAACACAGGTAAGGGGCAAGCTGTCATGATGGGGCCTGCACCTAGGTTTCACATCTGAGGCATGCAGGTTAAGCCTCCAGGTCATAGCTCAGAACGGAACGGCTTGGAGGTTTTACTTATCAATGTTGTGGACTCTGTCCCAATCTGTGCTAGGACTGTATTTTAATTTAAAAACCCGCACCCCTGCTCAGATTGGTTATCCATGAATCCGCGAGGACCACATCGTAAGGCTAAATACCCCTGAGTGACCGATAGTGAAATAGCACCGTAGGGAAAGATACCATACTGCCAGCGTCCTGTCTGGAATTGCTAAGGACCCTTCTGTAACCCCTTTTTGGTGCTCCAGCTTCGGCGCTGGACGTGATCTTCTTCGTGCGAGAGATTATGGAGACCAACGCCAAGCTGCGGCCCAACGTGCTAGAGCGCCTACACACCATCTTCTACCAGGCATGTGGGGTGTTGAGGGGGATGTCTGCAGATAATGTGGCCAGGCTGATAACGAGGTCCCAATGTTTCATTCCTGGCCAATGCATTGCTCTTGTCGTGCGCCTGCGTTGCCACATGCATGACTCTGTGGCCATCGTGTCCAGCGCCTTTAAGCGATATACTCATTCTTATGTTTCAGTCTTCTCGTGAGCTTCATGTCCGATGACATCGGTCCCTTTCTCTTGCCGCGGTGCAGATCCGCACCTCCCGCGTAGTGAGCTGCGCGCTGTGGATCATGGGCGAGTACTGCTCCAACACTGCGGAGATTCTTGCGGCTCTGTCCACGCTGAAGGACTCGCTAGGTTCAGTGCCTTTCCTGACGGACCCTGCAGGTAAGGCGGGGATGGCACTTAACCCGGACCGGAAATTAGGCCACTGACCTTAACTCTCAACCAGGGCTGGAAACTGGCCACTGGGTTAAGGTGGAAGGTAGAGACGGCGTTAAGGACCACAGTGCGCGAGGCTATTGTGGCTATGTTTCCAGCAAGCTGTGGGAAAGCTTGCATTGCACTATAAGGATTTTAAAAGACTGCGACGACGTCGGTAGGAACGAAATACGTTTATGGTGGGTTTCACAAGTTAACGGGTTGGTGTGGCGCGTTGCCACGCGCCTGTGTATGCCTTTTCAACGACCCGAGTTGGCATCGCCTGGGCTGCTCTGGGTATTCCCCTGGGCTAAGCTAGGTATCCCTTCAACCCCTTTGGCCGGTGTGCAGAAGGCGAGGAGGGTGCTGGTGCTGCCTCCAACAGCACCACCGCTGCCCTTGTGATGGGTTCTAAGCGGCCTGCAGTGCTGGCAGACGGTACCTACGCGACGCAGGTATGTAGTTGATTTCATGCAGGCCGCCTCTTGTAGTGAAAAGGCGAGAGCTGCTTTCAGGGTGTATGAGCGCTGCTGTTGGGGGGGAGACTTTTAGCACCCCTGCTGTGCTGGGGAGAGTACGACTGGCGAGATTTTTACTTGTGGTTCGCACGTGTTGACTGTATCTCCTCGTAAAGTCAAATCTCTACGGCTTTTCGCGGCCCCTTTCTACTCTTCCTGAATGCTCTCTACTCTCTTCTAAATGCCGTTATGTGTGTCATCCCATCGGGCCGACCTTCCTAACTCTACAGAGTGCCGTGGCGGAGGTGAGCTCGGGAGGCGGCGTCACCGGATCTGCTAACGCTGGGGGTCCGAACCTGCGTTCGCTGCTGCTGGGGGGCGACTTTTTCCTGGGTGGTGTCATTGCGGGCACCTTTGTCAAGCTGCTTCTGCGTCTTTCGGCGCTGCGTGAGGTTCCAGGTATGCCCGGGAGCTGCTTCGGCATTAGCTATCGCGGTTGGTGGGCTGGGTGGTACGTCGCATCTCGCGAGTAGTCCTTGCCCCCAGCCATAACCGCCGCGCTTGCGCAATGGTAAAAAAATATAAACACATATCATGGTCGGCTTTTGCCTTTCAGCACTGCGGGCCCCGTCCTGCATGATTCCGTGTTCTTTCTTTTACCTATGCACGACTTATTCCATGGTATCTGCAGCTTCTCAGCTCAACAACTTGTACGCCGAGGCGATGCAGTACGTGGTTGCCACCCTGCGGCTCGGCGAGTCCGCGGGTTCTACCCCTACCCCGCTGGACGCGGACAGCCGCGACCGTATGCTGCTTTGTCTCCGTGTGCTGGCTGGCCAGGACACCTGGTCGAACGCGGTGGGTACACTTCTAAGGGTGGCAGTATATCGCCACACTAACCTCTGACCTCTTAAAAAGGTCTCAATGCATGTCTACGGCATCCACATCATGAATCCTTGCTCCTTCGATTGTCTTGGATATTGCATCCAATGAGGGAGCCAAGGTTTGAGCGCACAGCAATGCTTTACCACGCAATCGTGCAATGAAGGTCTCTTTCTTTGCCGACCTTGCCGCTGCTCAGGTGTGGTTGGGAGACTGCCGCAGCGCTTTCGCCCTCCTCACCACGGAGAAGCAGAAAGAGGCTACAGCGCGCAACGCACGTGACGACGCGCGTGCGGCGGTGCAGCCCGACGACTTGATTGATTTCCAGGTGCTGAAGAACCGCAAGGGGCTGTCGCAACTGGAGGTCGAGGACGAGGTCACCAGCGGTAGGCAGCGGATGGGACCTTGGGGAGGGAGTTGGCACATGGCGGGGCCGTCTGCCAGGGCACCTGGGACCTGGAGGACTGGGGTTTCATGCACGATAGACAGGCAACCTCCAGTCTACGGATCGATGGGCTGAGCTCTTCGTGTGGCAGGAGCTGGATAGGGACACAGTGGGAAGCTCGGGACGCTGTGTGAAAGGATGCGATTGCATCATGTTGTGCTCTTCAAGCTTGTCTGCAAGCCTGAACCCCTGCATTCCGTTGCTAGAACTGAGCCGTGCACGGTGGTGACCGTTTTTTTCCTTCGCGCCAGATCTTGCTCGCGCCACTGGTTACGCGGAAGCTGTGGCTGCTGCCTCATCGCGCCTGAACCGGGTCCTGCAGGTGGGAACGCGGAAAAGGTTGGGAGTTCTCAACAGTAACCGGGACTGTGTCGCTAACGGTCCTCGTTAACTAATAGCGCTTACCCTCTGTAACGATGGTTTAGGGCTGCAAAGATCCCCAAAGACAGGGTTTCGCGTAGGGTTTCGAGAATTGGGACGGTCAGTTGGTATAGCCTCAAGGCAACGCAATCTCACTGGCAACTCTTACCATTGGATTTCCCTTATGCACTTCCTTGCAGTTGACGGGTCTATCCGACCCTGTGTACGCCGAGGCTGTGGTCACGGTGCACCAGTACGATATCGTCCTGGACGTGACGGTGACAAACAGGTGCGGTTTCGGCGGTCATAACTTTTATTCCTTTGCTTACGGCGGGAACCTTCAGCAGAGGGCTTTTTCCAAGCACTTTGTATTGTTGGATAAGTTGTGCTTTGCTTTCCAGGGTGTGTCACCGAACCCCTTTATGAGCAACCGGCGTCGGCCCACATAATGTCTCTTTTGCCGCCTGCAGGACCACTGAGACCATGCAGGCACTCTGTCTGGAGCTGGCCACCATGGGCGACCTCAAGCTCGTTGAGCGGCCACAGAACTACACTCTGGCGCCCGGTGACACCAAGCTCATCCGCGCCAACATCAAGGTGGGGATGGCAAAATGGACTGGTTTGGCACAAAGTGTCGGCTTCTTTGTTGGGCGAAGGGACCGTGGGCGGAATTTCGACTTGTCCTGCCGTGGAGTCGCTTTGTACTAGAACATGGCGGCTATAGAACCTGGTGAACCAGTTTGCATGTTTGGGACCTAGCGACCGAGTTTCTAGGGCCGCCTTTTTGCGTTTGGGGAATAGCTGGTTGCTAAAGTTCCGATCCTGACAAAGTCCCGATAACTCCCGCTGAAGCCCATTATTTGGCAATGCTTGACGGTGGTTCCTGTGTCACCCGTCAGGTCTCCTCCACCGAGACGGGTGTCATTTTTGGCAACATCGTGTACGAGGGCACAGGTTACTCAGAGCGCTCTGTGGTGGTTCTCAACGATATCCACATTGACATTATGGATTACATCAGCCCTGCCTACTGCGCTGATGTGCAGGTGGGTAACGCTTGGGGGGCGTTCCGGGGAGGGTCGTAGGTATCGATGCTGTTGGCTGGGGATGGGGTCTGAGGCTGATTCGCATTCATGACGGCTGTGCTTGATGTTTACCTGTTCTTTCGCAAACCTTACTTCCCACAACCAATGAAAGCCTCTGGACATCCTGTCTCTCCGTCACTTTTACCTCCGATCGCACAGTTCCGCAACATGTGGGCCGAGTTTGAATGGGAGAACAAGGTGGCCATCGCCACCACCTTCACGGACGTGGCGGCCTTCCTGCAGCATATTATCTCCACCACCAACATGAAGTGCCTCACGCCGCCAAGCGCGCTAGAAGGTAAGCTGCCGGAAATATCTTGAAATGCTGAGCCGTATATGCATCCCGACACCTACACAATCCGCGCATTTGACTTGTTAGGGACCACCCCATACATTTTTCTGAGCTCTGCATAAGCGAACCATTCATTTGAGAATCGGACAGCTCATTAGGCAGCACATTAATACGTGTATTATGCCTGGTTATTGAAGCGTGGCCGTCATCTGTCTCTAATCTACGCACCGCAGGCGATTGTGGCTACCTGGCCGCTAATCTATACGCGAAGAGTGTTTTCGGCGAGGATGCGCTGGTGAACGTGAGCGTGGAAAGGACGCAGCCCACGGTGGGCGCCCCAGGTGCAGCGGCCGGCCAGGACGGCGGACGATTGGCGGGCTATATTCGTATTCGTTCCAAGACGCAGGGCATTGCTCTCAGCCTGGGTGACAAGATCACGCTTATGCAGAAGGCGCCAGTGACCACAGCCGCAGCGTGAGCGCATCAGTGGCTGCTTGTAGAGATTACCAGTGGATAGCACGGGGGGTGGCAAGCAACGAAGCCGAGGCGGAAATGGAAGTTAACGGGGGAGACGCATGGGTTCATAATGTGATGGTTGGGGATTGGCGCGTTGCGCCATACCTGCTGCTGGGCTGGCTAGGATCGAAAGAAATGTGTTGGGCTTTCACAGGTGCCTGGGATGTGGGTTTTGACAGGGCTTTCACGTCCGTTAGGAGACTAAGAGGAATTTGTTGACGGC